GAGATTTCAAAGTAACATTAAATAAATTTCTACTAAAAGACAACGTTTGTTTGAAGAATTAATTGCAAATATCACTAATGGAAATACAACATTAGATCTCAAAGACGCATATCTACAAATGAGCATTGATGAAGAATCGCAAGAATTATTAACAATGGTAACACCAAATGGATACTACCGCTATTTATACCTTTTGGTATAGCTACAGCACCAATAATATTTTAACTATCAAAAAATTACAAAATGCGGGATTAAAAGTCAAAACAAGCAAAATAAATTTTATGAAGTTGTACATTTGCTCAAAATAAAAAGAACTTCAAAGATCTAGATCTTTGAAGATCGTAAAATTTGAAGATCTTTTATTTTTTAAAAATTTTGTGTAACGATCTTCAAAGATCTTCATGATATTTATTTTTTTACCCCTTTATTAAAAGCTCAGATGTTTTTCAATTTTATTAATATAATATTTCTTTTATGTTTTATACCTCTCCTCCAGCCTTGATGAAAATTGAAAAACATCTGGGCTTTTAATAAAGGGGTAAAAAAATAAATATCATGAAGATTTTTGAAGATCGTTGATCGCAGCGATCTTCAAAGATCTCGTTACACAAAATTTTTAAAAAATAAAAGATCTTCAAATTTTACGATCTTCAAAGATCTTGCTCAAATTTTTGAGCTAGATCTCGCTCAAAAATCTTCAAAGAAGATCTTTTGTACAACTCTGAGAAAAAGTATCATATTTAGGATGCATAATAAAAATAAAATAATAGCAATAAAAAAATATCCAACGCCAAAAGATAGACATGACATAAAATCATTTTTATTTATATTTATACACGGTTCATAGCCGAATTACATAATAAAACCAGTAAAGATGTTAAATGGAATTGGACTAAAAAAGATGATGTTATTTGAAAAAGCAAAAGGAATAGTAACAGAACAAAATACTATACAGTTTTATAAACCGGACCTCGAGTTAATATTAGAAACAGATGCATCTAACCAAGGAGAGCTGTACACATGCAAAAATATGATAATGGTAACGAATTCCCAATAGCTTACACCTCGAGATTACAAGATGCTGAAAAGAATTACAACTATCGACAAAGAAGCCAAAGCCATAATAAACGGCGTAGAAAAATTTCATAACTATTTGTATTGACGAAAATTTAAAATACGAACGGACCACTAACCTTTAATAAAGATATATGGTAATAACAGAGATATAAGCTCATTAACAAACCAAAGATTATAACGTTGTGCTTATAAATTATCGGCATATGATTATGATATAATGTACGAGAATGGCGCTAATAATATAATTGCAGAGGCTTTATCGCGAAACCCAATAAAGAAAAATGATGATAAAATAACAAGCGAAAATAAAACAGTGAAATATATATGAAATCTTACTTATGACAAATTAACTCTATCAAGAAAAGAACTTAGAGATGTAACTGCGAAAGATCCAATTTTAAGAAGATTAAAAATATTAATAAAGGGTACAAATATACAAAATCAAGCACAAGAATTACAAGCTTTTAGAACAAGAATAGATGAAATAGAAAATGATGACGGTATTTTATTTTGGAATGGTAGATTAATCATTCCGTACTCACTACAAAAAAGAGTTTTACACATATTGCATACGGGACATCCGGGTATTTCATCATGAAATCCAATACGAGACATTATATATGGTGGGAACAATTAGATAAAGATGCTGAAAAATTAGTAAACCGCTGTATTGGGTGTCAAAAATATCGCAGATATACCAGGAGTTGCCATATACCTATGGAATCCGCGAGCACAACCCTGAGAAAGGGTACATTTCGATTTTGCCGGACCACTTGACGGATTTTATTGGCTGGTAGGACTCGATTCATATTCAAAATGGATAGAGATCGATAGAATCAAAGATACAAGTAAAAATTTAATAAATAGATTAGAAAAATGGCTTAACCGATATGGTATTACACGTCAAATTGTTATGGACAATGGCCCACAATTTATTTTGAATGAATTTTATAAATGGTGTAAAAACAAGAATATACAACATATAAAAACTACACCATACCATCCGAGAAGTAATTGATTAGTAGAAAGATGCATACAAACTATCAAAAATCGGTATTTCGCAAATAGAGAATGGGGAAAAATGCCTAAATGAAGTATTATTTACGTTTAAAAATTCCGAACACTCCTCAACGGGCCGAATACCTGCCAAACTATTTATGGGGAGAAGATTAAATACTTTATTGGACTGGGTGAAACCTTCAATTACTGAAAAATTAGAAACCTCTGTAGTAAAACCCGACCAGTTAAACAAAGGCCTACATAGATATTTTGGAGAAAACGAATTAGTTTTGATAAAAAACAAATTATCACAAAAGTTCTGATGATTTCTTCAAATTAATTATAAGTGGGGATATGATTCCCATTTCATCACATATATGAGGCCATTCTATATTGTGGATTGAAGGGCCTAGGATTACATCGCCATTTGGATTCGGAAAGCTTGAATATCAATAATGAAAATGAAGTTTTCGTGGTCTTGTAAAATTTAAAGCGGGGATTCTGCATTAATGGAATACCTCAAGCAACAAATTATTTTAAACAGAATTATTTCTGAAACCCCTTGTCCAACAAGGAGAAAGAAATTGCAAAAACGTGTCCAACAAGATGGAAGTCTTCGTCATCAAGCAGTAGCAGCTTTTATGGAGTTAGAAGAGCCGATTAATGCTCTTACTGAAATATCACAATGGCTTGAAAGAGATATTTCCTCAGAAGCAAGCAATTGGATTCAATACTTATACCAATTTTTTCTTCTCATTAAAATGTATTATAAATTATTTAATATACAACTATTTTATGTAATACTTTTCAAAAACATGTCATTGACTAATTGAGCCAATGAGAATAGCGGAGAACATTTTATTAGAACTCAAAAAAGTTAGGGCTAATGTTGATGAAGAATTTCATATTTTATGTTATTGTTGAGTCAAAAGTAGTGCTATACAAGTTTAATCCTTAGACTTGCAGAAAGGCAAGTTAATTGTCCAACTCCAAACATTAATATAGGGTCAGTAGAAGAGTATTATATAATAAATGTCTTAATACTCCTCTTAGATATATTTATAACCCAAATAAATGAACGGTTTTTAATTCATTAGACAGCATTACCAATCTGCAGATATTACTTCACAAAAGCCTTCCCTACCTTTTTCTGATGGTGATGGAAAGAAAATAAAACATTTAACAGATTTTTATCAAGAAGATGTTAACGTATCTTATGTGCTTATTAGCTGAATGCCAACTATGGTATAAAAGATTAATTATAGTTGATATAGTCCAAAAAAGTTTATGGATGCTTTGCATCATTTCAAACATCTTTTAAATAATTTTCCCAATGTATTAAAATTATTTCAACTCTCCCCATTAGTACTGCTACTAATGAGAGAACATTCTCTTCTTTAAGAAGAATAAAAACATACCTAAGAAGTAGAACTTCTGAAAGTAGATTGAATGGTTTGGCCTTTTTGAATATTCGTAAGCATTTGATGCCAAACATGGATGAGATAATTGAAAAATTAGCTCAATCCCAACAAAGATTGGATTTTACATTATAAATATATAATATGCTTCTTAATAATATTTTTGTGCAATTTTATTTTTTAATATGTTAAATTTTATGAATACTATATAAGTTATTATATACATAATACAATTATTTTATTCCTAAGAAACTTGTGTATTAATTTATATTTTCAACATTTAAACTTTTTATACTTTATATATAAATTTTAAAAGCCCAAAAAATTTAAAAAAAATTTAAATTTCTATTTTGGGTAATTTATTTTATAGTGATTCATATGCTGGTTTATAATTTGCATTTATTTTGTAGTTTAATTTTTTAGAATTCCCATTAATTTAAAATTGTGTATCCTAATAAATTTATGCTTGATATTTTTAATTAACAATAATTTTATAAAAAAAATTAATTACCCCCCCCCCCCCCCACCACAGAAAATTCCTGTGTACACAAAAATGCAATTCCAGAATCAAGAAATTTTTATTGGACCCCTGCATATTAGCTAATTTGTATAAATTTCAAAATGATAACACACATCATTAAAATCTTTTTTAAGAAAAAAACCCTCCTATATTTTTTATAAATATTTAAAAAATAAATCTGTAATTAGTATTTTTTTAGCATAGGAATGAGTTTCGTTTTTAATTGGCCAGAGAGGGGGATTTGTGGTAAAAGCCACCAAAAATTTGAAATACTAGAAAAGAATCTAACACAATTAATTAATTTTTACATGGTAACCCATTAACGAAGTTAAAACTTGGAAAAAATTTTATGACAAGATTTTAAAAAATTGATCAATGCTTGTTAAAATTGATGAAAAGCAATTAGATTTTTTATTTTGTTTGATTGTATAGAATTTATATGAAGGTTAAAAATATTTATTATTAGAAATCAATTTTTTATTATAATTTTTTAAAAGTTGCAACTTATGTCATATTAATTTCAATGATTGGGAAGAGAAAGAACTAATGACAAATATTGGATAGTGGAATTTCAATAATGACGAAGGGTTAAAGATTTATATTTTTTAATATATTAAATAAAAAATATTTTGCCTATATCTGAAGTTTTATTTAAAAAATTTAATCAACAAATTATTTATTGAGAATAATATGTAATCCACCATAATACTGATTGATATAAAATATATAAAACCTCCTAAAAAATGAAAATAGAATAGATAGTGCTTCTTATATATTTTCTAATATAAAATAAATAAATTGATTTAATAATTATGCTAAGTCTTAAAATTTAAGTAGGAACTGAGGGGTTAATATAAATTTTGGTGTCATCAAGACTGAGTTATCAGGAGCATTAAATTTTTTATGTAAATTTATAAAATATTTAATATTTTCATAAATTATTATATTCTGAAATGAAGTTATCTTTCAAACTTATAAAAATCATATAAATAACAAAATTTTATTATAAATAACAAAATTTTATTATAAATTTTGGTTCTGATTGCAAACTTCTTAAAACGTTTTATTTAAACATATGTAATATCATTTCGATTTAGGCAATTCAAAACCCATTCTTTTAGCTGCTTGTTCCACTGTTACTTCTTTGGAGCTATAATATTTAGCGCACAAATCCTTAAGAAATATACAATATTAAAACTTAATTTTACCTTATAACGCAATATATTTGTAGTGTAATCTGAATAATTTTTAATAAGCATTTCTACTTTATTTTTATCTCTACAATATCTAGAGGCTGTAACTTCATTATTGTCAATAAGCTTCCTTATATAATTGGTAATTAGTTTCGGTGTCTTAATATTAAAATAATAATTGTATATAATAAATATAGTCCTACAGAATTATTGTTGAGTTTTTTACTATTTTTAAGTATAATACGATAAATATCTTTAATAATCATGTCCAATTTAATTTAGGTATTGCTTTTCATTTATTACGACGCCAGAAATTGCTTATGTAAAAAAAAGTAACATTGATTGATGTTATTTAACGTCGAAGTTTACAACTGAAAGCAGTATACAGCGTCTTCATGAACGGGAAGGGGGAGGATTAGGGGGTAGGCGGCTATAATGGGGGTAGGATAAATTTTTTGGTTGGCTATCTATTAAATTTTGAAATAGGAAAAAATTTATTGCTGTAAAAATTAATAATTTTATTATAGACCTATTATAATACAATTCATCAACCAAATCTATATATTGCAAACAATCATAACATTATTTTCCAAATAAAACTACCTGCTATCCTTTAAAATGTAATTTAAAAGGGTTAGATACTTATAATGCTATAATAATGAATTCATTGTAAAAGATGTGGGTTTTTAATTGAATTTATTATCTAAAAAATGACTCCTTTATATTCACAAAATGTCGATAGTTGGTAGTAGAGATAAAATAATTTAAGTGATTTTTTTTAAATTATCTGAAAGAGTATAATTATAATAAAAAAAATGGAATTAAAATTAGAAACATCGCGCGCCGAAGGCGGCGGGAATTCTTCAGTGGGTAGGCATAGATTTTTGAAGGGGGTTTGTCTAGACGCTGGCAGTATAGCAATTTACTGTACAATGATTAAATTTAAGATGTAGTATGACCTAATATATTATATAGACGTAGCCAAGAGAGGGGGAAGTAAGAAAAAATTTACCCTTCGGAAATTTGTCGGTTTTCGTAAATATCATTTATACCTAAAATTAATTTACCAAAACATTCCTTTCCCACAAAACGTATACATATATCACTATAAATAATGATTTCAAAGAAAAATTAATAAGGTGATAATTTTTTAAAATAGTGACTATTACAAATCAAATTTATGGGAAAACCAGCGTCTACATGAGCGGGAGGGGTAGGAACAGTTTGCATCCTATTTTTTTGAGGGGTAGGAGGTAAGCTGCTTTATTGGGGGGTAGGATAAATTTTTTTGGGGGGTTATTTATTAAATTTTGAGATGAAATAGGACAAAATTTATTGCTGTAAAAATTATACTTTTATTCTAGTATTATTATAATACAATTCATCGACCAATTGCAAACAATCATACACATTGTTTTCCAAATGAACTATCCTTTTTAATGTAATTTAAAAGGTTTAGATATTTTAGCAAGCTCATAATGCCATGATAACTAATTGTAAATAATGGAGGTTTTAATTGAATTTATTATCTAAAAAATAAATTATTTATAATCTAAAAAATAAATTATTTATAATCACAAAATATAGATAGTTGGTAGTAGATATAAATTTATTTAGGTTATCCTTTATAAATTATTTGAAAAGAGTATCAATAATAAATAGGTAAAAATAATGATAAAGAGACACCGCCGCCGAAGGCGACGATTTTTTAGGGGGGTAGGCAAAGGTTTTTGAAGGGGGTTTGCATCCAGTGAAAATCCTGTCATGTAGACGCTGGGGAAAACAAACGTAATAATGCTCCCACCTCACAACCATCCCAAGCAGCGTACATGAGTGGAGGACTGAGGGAAGGGGGTAGAAGCATTTTGCAGCCAAATATTGGAAGGGGGTGGGCGAGGATAAATTTATTGTTGGGCTATCTATTAAATTTTTAGATGAAATAGGGCAAAATATATTGCTGTAAATGTTAATATATTTCCAAATAAAACTATTTTTGGATAATTTTCTGCTTATATTCATCCAAACAATAAACTATAAAAATGTTTATTGTAAATCTAAAGTGGTTATTTAATTGTTCTAAAAAAAAACTTTCGTATTTACAATATTTTAATAGTTGGTAGTAAAGCATTAATAATTTAGGTTTTTTATATTAAAATTTATCAGAGTGCCAATATAATTAAAAACTAGTAATTAATAATGTAGAAATATCATCTTCAAAGTCAGTGAAATTTCAGGGGAGGGGGGGGGGGGTATTATAGATTTGAGGGCTTGCATCAAGGGAATATCTTGTCAAGTAGGTGCTGTGATCAACAAGTCTAAATAGATGTTCAGTTATAGGGAATTTTTTTTAGATTATGGAATTAAGTTTATAAGGTTTTTAATTATCGAATCTTAAATTAAAACAATTAACTTTTTAAATAGCCTAACAATCGATATTTCTATTTAATTTTCATCCACAAAATTATACTCATATAATTTGGTTTTTATAAAATAAAAATTTCAAAAATCAACGTTATAATTATTACAATCTATTTATATAGTTATTATCCATCAACAGAGAATATAAAAGTGATGTAGTTAGCTCGATTTATTTATTTTATTTCTCATTATTATTGGACACAATATATAATTTAAATGATATATATATCTATAAAGGTTATATTAATTATAAAACATATTTTTTAGAATCTAAAGGAAAAATTTATAAAAACGTATAATTTTAGAATACAGGATATATATTTTTTTTAAAGCAAATAAGACTTTTTATATAAGTAGTAAGGGTTTCCAAAATAAATTTGACTTTTTGAAAGATATAGGGATTTTTTATGCATCGTGCTATCAGGATTAGGAGCGAATGTTGACCTTGGATATAGTAGAATAGCCCCTTATAATAAAAACATAAATACAAATCAAATATTTAATATTAAGAAGGGAAATCATAGCACTTTACCTTGCTTAGTAAAGCATCAGTTCAAAATATAATAAGTATCAATTTTTAATAGTAGAAAGAGAATACCTATGGATAAGATTTGGACTCTCATTCAGTTTTTTTAAAATTAAGATTAGAGTTACAATCAAACTTTCGAAACAATAAGAACAGCGATTAGCCTAAATTAAAAAAAAATTTATTTACTAAATTTTCAATGTTCCTTTGCGGTTTTTTTTTATCTCTTTAAAAAAGTAGCTTACTCAACACTTTTTCCAACGCGGTAATAGTTGTCCACGAAATCTGCCTTGGCCAATAAATTTATAAAATCTTCGTCGTGAGTTATTATGATGAGTTGAAAATTTCTTTGGGCGCTTCTGTCATTGATTATCCTAAAAAATATTTAATTTTTAAATTAAAATATGAAGAAATAGAGAAAAAAGTAACTACCCACAAAAGAATAAAAATTTTTTTAAACTGAATAAGGGCGTAGGCTAAGCTTTCAATATTTTCCTGGTCCAAGTTAGTGGTGGGCTCGTCTAAGGCTAATATACCGCAGTTTAAACAAAATGTTTCCGCCAGAGCTAATCTGATGATCAAGGATGCTAAAACCTTTAAAAAATAAAATGAGTTGCAACAAATTTTAATTTAAAGAGGTGGAGGGGGGGGGATATTTATGTGATAAATTAGTTAACATCTTAGTACCAACTCTTAAGGTAATATGCAGTAGATAGTAATATAATGATAGTAATTTTAGATAGTTGTTGGTAAATGATAATTTCTGTAATATTAGCTATACTTAGGAAAACAAAAAATTACATTGGTGGGAGGAGGGGTCTAGCTTCCAAATACCACTTCTTAATTAAACCGACTGAAAATATATAATAGATATAATACTTATTAGAGATCTAGAACGGGTAGGATTTTAGCCCGATCATTCTAAAGGCAGACAAATTAAAGAGTTCTAAAAATTGAGCGGATAATGATGAAAATATTTTTAAAACAATGAGAGGGCGTTGGGTTGGTGAATTTGAAATTAACTTTAAAAGCAGAACAATATTACATATTTTAAAGAGCCAATCAATAATATAGTGGAGGTTGCGAAATAAAAATCATTCCCAGATATTGTTTTCGATAATATTTTTAAATATTGGGCAGGCGGATTAAGCAAATTTTAAAGATAAATGGATGGGTGAATGAATTGAAAAAAAATAAAACCATGGGATTGCAGATCTCATACTTATATTTTATCATAATGTAGCAATTTTATGTCAATGCTTAAAATCATTTAAAATATATAAATAAAAATTATCCTACATTCGCCAGGCTTTACAAAAGGAATTGTGTTGTAATAAATGATCTTTATAGGGTAAAATTACAGATAAAAGTGTCAATTTTTTTATGAAACTAATTTCATTTCCAACTTAGCTTACCTTTAAATAAAATAATCTCTAGGAATTACCCTTAATTTTTTTTGGTCATTCATATTTATCCTAAGAAATATCGATAATATAATTATACCTTTTGCCCGGCACTGCATCGATTTCTCATATCCAATTCCACGTCATCTTTCACCATAACGACTCTATAATTGTATACCGATCTTTGTGGGCCACCTTTGTATTTAAAAAACTTTTATTGTTCCAGATCTTTAATTTTATTTTGAAGTGCGTTGCTCTTTCGTGTTGTGGAGACAATATGATTCTCTCATTCCCTTTATACTGCGAGAAATTTTAAGAGAGACTTAAGAAAATAATCATTTACAATCGTTGGTCAGATTACAGTGATACGCATGAAGGTAGGGGGGGGGGCGCGTATACAGGGATTAGAACCGAACCCGAATCCGGAAAAGAAAACCCAGGTTTTTGGGAAAAATCTGAATTTGAACCGAACCTGAACCCCGTTTATAAAATTTTTAAAACCCCGAACCGAACCTGGAAATTTTAATTGAACCCTGGTTCAACCATTGTTTAAAATCATATAATATTTGTATAATTGTAAACACAAATATTAATAATTTAATTGAAATATTTTCAAATTTACAATTAAGTGAAGTGTTAATAAATTTTAAACAACTGAATTCATTTATGCCATTTTTAAATTTTTTATAAAGATTCCTATTGGAGTGTTAATAAATTTTAAACAATTAAATTCATTTACGCCATTTATTTAAAATTTTTAACTTATTCTCAAAGATTATTATGATACATGACTATGCTTTGTATTTTTAAATATTTTGCCTTATATAAAATAAAAAATTTATTTTTTATACCAAATCCATGTCTAGCTTTATGATTTAAATAATGATTTTTTTTTATCAATTCGAAAATTCTTAAACCCGAGCTAAACCCGGGTTCAAAAATATTTCTCTAAACCAAACCCGAATCAAACCCACCTATTTATTTTAACCTTAAACCGAACCCTGGCAAAAATTTTGCCGGGTTTGCATCCTTGCGCTGTATAGTGTATACGTTATGCTTAAAAGGGGTGACAAGGTTAGTTTTAAATTTACATAAACTTAATTTGAGCGAATAAAATTGTATTTGATTAGGTTGACAAGGTAAGGAAAAATTAAACTGCTAGCAGGAAGGCAAAGGTTGGAATATTTGTGATGCGTGTTTTAATGAAAATCGTGAAGTAAATTACAAGTTTTCTAATTTGATTTTTTTTATTGCAACTGTTGAAAAGCAAAATATTTCAAATCAGAAAAATTACAAGTGTTTAAGGATAATGTGCTATTCCTAACCACTATCACACTTTTCAATAAGTAGGTTCCATTTAGTTATAATATGTCAATGTTTTCTATGCATAATTTATACAATTTTGAATAAAAACTATATATACAAAGCATTCTAAAATAACAAATATGAGGAGGTATATAAAAAAGTTAAGGAGGAAATACATTGGATTGACAAATAAAACTCCCCTTAATAATTTAATTTGGAGTGTTCGTTTTAAGTGAGTCCTATAAAAGGCTTGATTTTTAAGCCTATTGAACAAGAGTCAAACGCTTCTGAGCAAAGTAATGATTTATCCAATAATAGAAAACAAAACAAAAATTGGGAAAAACAAACCAAATATTAGTAAAAAAGATTTTGAATATTTAAAACCTAAAAATAAGACAAAACAAAATGGATTATAAACGAATATATTTTTAAAATGCTACAATACCATAATAAAATATGACATAAATTAGGATAGATAATATTTAGTTAACAACTTACCTAACATCATCTGTTGCGCTTGAGAATCTTCCTTAACATTGAGTTTAGCCTTTTTCGCCCCGGGAGGGTTCTTTCTACCACCTTTCTTTTTGCCGCCTCCCTTGTTATTGACACTAAAATCATTTTCGTCGAAATTGGGATCCGATTCGTTGTCATAACTATAAAAAAAATATTTAAACTTTAGATTATTTAATCGTGATTCAGTAAACGGTTCTAGATAATAAAAAAAATGAGTATTAAATAAAAAAAATCACCATTTAATTTGGAAAATGTCCACAAAACGCTGCTGATTTAATGTGGTGATGACTCGAATATAAAGATTGATTCAAATATTCGTTAATTATTATATCTAAATATTATTTACGTTTTTATTAAATGTACTAGTCAAATGTTTTATTTGTTTGTTTAAAAATGGACTTGGTTAGCCTTTAATGTATAAACCTTCCTTTTAATGAAGAGGTTAGCCTTTAAATATAAATATATGTATTATAAAACAAATGATAATACTAAGGCCACTACTATTATGACAAAATTGATTAACTTTTGAGCAGAATTTCCAGCGTCGTTATAGATATCCCGCTGAAGTTTAGCGTTGGCTGCCATGATAAATCCGTCCTCGACGTCGGACCTAATTTCGATGTAGTCGATATCGTTGCCCCTGTACGTTTGCTTCCATAACTGTCGAACTATCTTGTTTATTTCGTTCATTTTTATTGAATGGTAAGTCATAATAGCTCTGATTTTTTTGTTTTATTTGTATGTATAAAAAATATGCTTATTACGTCTTTAATTGATTATTATCATAAGATTTCAACTCCGCGTTTAGACTAAATTGAGTGAGAGTCAAACCAGAGATTGAAACAGGTACCTGGCATCATATTTATGAACTGGAAACTCATTTTTAAAAATTTTAAGAATGCGGAATAAGATCCACTTTAAATATTTAGAATCGGAAACATAATTTCTTTTCGATCATTTTGAATAGAGAGGTTTATCTGGGATAGGTTCTAAATTGCTAAAAATTAAAAATTTCGATTATATCTCTTAAATTTTTTTAATAATATTGAAAATATTACTTAATAAAATGTCAGGAATTGATTTTTTTTAAAAAAAAAATTCGCAAAAAATGGAGGAAATATTATTGTTCAATAATTGGGAACAATTGGAAATAATTTTTCAAAAAAAAGCAATTTAAATACAAATGTTTACTTCCCTGGCATCTTATTGTTATTAATTTTAAAATTTACTAGGAGATATATGAGAAATTCCCAATTTTTTTGTGTTTAGTGATTTAGGCCGATCCGCTTATTATTTTTTTTAAAAAAAGAAGTCCTTTCTGTCACATTAATAAAATAATAAAATTTAATTAGTATCAGACTTTTCCGCGTGTCCAAATTTGGGGGAAATGTAGGGTGATTTTTTTTTAATATTAAAAAAAAGGTATTTATAACCAAGCGTAAATAAAAAATACGCTAATAGGACATGAAAAAACCTAGCAAGCATTAACAACCTTGTTTTGGAGGGCATGCCAAGCAGAGTCCCTGAATTCCTACTAAGCCAAAGGCATTAAGGCTATTATTGATAGCGGAAATTTATGATCCAGTTATATGGATACTGACTATATCTGCCGACTAAGAGGATATCTCCTGAAATTTGAATGACTGGATCACACTTTCTCCCGTGTTACCCCTCATTTATAGTTAGCGCGAATTTGCGGGGAATTATTCAAAATACGCTGTATTTTTGTATTTTCTGCCGCAAATTCGCGCTAACCGTGAAAGAGGGGTTACCCTGCATACACAGTTAACACGAATTCATAGCGAAATATACAAAATATGCTGTATTTTTATATACTCAGCCGTGAATTCGTGCTAACTCAAATCTTTATGGGAATTATTCTATCAACATTTTATTACAATTTCAAAAATTTCAATAAAAAAATTATAGCTTGTTTTCTTTAAACTGTTTTGTCCAGTTTTTTATGTTAGATTTTTTTAAAAATGTTTTTCTACATCTTTACCTTTAACTAATAACTTTGCACCATTTTTTTTCTTCTCCTTAATATCTCGTCCTATGTATGACTCAATGAAATTTGTTATGAATTTTATGGCTGAAATTTAGTAATTAATGTCAAAAAGTATTCAAGCAATGGCCATAACTATGGAAGGGAAAGGGGGGGGGGCTTTTTAATAATATTCTTTTAAGGTGAAAAAAAACCTATCAAAAGCCTTGTGATAAATAGTCAAATCTTTGAGTGCCAATTGAGTGGTTCTGAATTTAACTAAAGCCTCCACGTATTTTTCTTTGCTCAGTTTGTAGGTTTCGTTTTGAGCGGTGGCCTTGAGGCGGGCGATTTCTCGAGTCAATTCGCTTTTCATGCCACCGAGTTGATGGGAGTCTTTGGTTAGTTTTTCTTGCCTCTCTCTGTGTTGCTTGATTTGGCTTTAAAAAAGAAAAATTTAAATGAAAAAAAGATATTTATGTTAAAAAAAATTATCGTACATTTAAAATATTTTTTTTCCCACCTACTATTCACTCTTAAAATTCTCAATCTATATAAACAAGAAAGCTATTTTGCCAAGAATATGTTTAAAATTAATCCTAAAAAACAACATCAATTGGCACCCTGTCATCCCCAAACTTGTGTTCCTTGGCATATTATAACAAATTATTAGATAGACCTATTATAATTCTGGTTCAGTAATCAATCAGGTTATCATAAAAAAATTTTAAAAAGGCAAAATTACCTTCGAAGCCTGTTGACCTATTTCTCCACAATCGAAAAATTGCAAGCGCGAAATTATATAAAATATATTGTTCTTTTCAATCTTATGGTGAGGTAATTCACCTGAAACTGCTATCATCCAGCGAGAAATTAATATAAAATATATGGTATTTTTCAATCTTATAGTAATGCTAGTCTTATTAAGAGAATTTAGTTTTCTTACATTTTATCGTGGTTAATTATAAAATTATCTGAAATTTGAATGATATCTAATTCCTAAGCATTCACTCTTCCTTAAGGTGACATGTCTTTTTTTTAAAAAAAAATTAGTTTTATGTTTTTTTATATATTTTTTTAAATTTTTTAATTAAACATTGTTCAATGTAAATGTTTTATTATTTAAATAAAAAATACAAAGAAAAGAACTATTCGCACTATACCCTCTATAATAATTTTTTTTATAATAAAGTAACCTTAGTAAATTAAGGCTATCCTGTGGGGAGAATCGTAGTCCTAATTCTTGAAAGTTCGCCGTTTTCTGAGAAATCTCGGCTTGCCATTTCAGAATTTGAATGCTATCAGTAATATCGCGTTCTTTTACCTAAAAAATTTTTAAAGGGGGGGGGGGGTTTATAATTAAAATTTTCAACAAAAACATTATTTTTATAATCTGGGAATTTCAAATATCTATTTATAGCCTGTACACTAGTAATGTAACATAAATTTCAGAATTGTCCCATGGATCTTAGAATTCTTTATAAGAATATTATAAGCATATATATGGATACCATGATATTAAAAACATATATGTTTATAAAAAAAATAATCAGGTGAGTTTATTTTTTGATTTTAATCTTGTAAAAATAAAAATAGACCAAAAGGGATTTATATAAGTATGGTGATCGTAATATCCCTTAGTTTTGAGCCCCCCTTCCCCTACAACTATAGTAAGGTAATGGCTAAATGTCGGCTTAATTTATACGCGCGAGATGGAGAAAATCAGTTAACATTAAGGCATTTTAATCTTATATAGTTTCTTTCAAGTTTGATCTGCTATATTTTATAGAAAAAACCCCAAGGCCAAAGTGATAGTTTTCGGCTAAAAATTGGCATAAACGGCTAAGAATAATCGAGGTAAATAAATTATTCTTTTCAAAGAAAAGGGAATATTAAAATTTTGAGTTATGAAATATTTAATATTTTTTAAATACCCCCCTCTCCGTGCAATTTACTTAATATTATGGTGAAATGATATTTTAAAATGTTAATATTTAAAAAAAAAGGAAGAACTTTAAGATTCCCAACACTATTTTTACAAAAGTAGGATTATAAGAAAAATGGTCACTAACAAATAAATATTTCTATCTCGACCTAGTGGAGTATTAAATTTTTTTTAAAATAAGCAATTTTTTTTAATGATACCCCCTCCCTCCTCCCCCCCCCCAATTAAATTCTCAAACTTTTAATAACACACAAAACCTTTTCGTGAGCTATTTCGGATTTGATATCGTCGATCTCTTTGCAAACCTCCATTTTATTCGTTTTCAGCGATTTCAATCTAATCTCGAGACTTGTCATTTGATCGTTCAAGGTTTCGATGGAATGAATGCCTGACGAGGCGTCCAAATAACTGTAGTTTAATATAAAAAAAAACCAGTTAAATCTAGCTGAACTTGGATCTGCCAACATTATTTCAGAATCGGTATGGACCCTTTTAAAAATCATTTTTTACTCGGTCACACCGAAAGTTACTTTTTTTGAAATGTTGAGCGAGACAAAAATAAACATTTTTTTAGAAAAATTTACTATTTTAAAAAAGAAAATTTAATGATAATTTGAAGAAGAAAAAAAATGTTTTTTTTAAATAATTATTATTGAAGTACTATACATTTTATATGTTATGACTCATAATTTTTTCTTTCATAAAATATATTATACTATTGATATATCAACGTTTTGGAGGTGGTGCTATGTAGTTATGCAAAATTGCGCCATTTGAGCCAATTTTTAAAAACGACTATCTCAATATTTTAGCCAGAAAAATATTGCCTAAGCCTCGAGATTTCGTTAATAGATGTCCAAACCTTTACGCCATCTATGAGAAAAATTGTTGGCTTGCGTAACATTTTTCTGGATAAAATATCGTGTTAGCCGTTTTTAAAAATCTGCTCAAATGGAGCGATTTTGCATCACTAGCTGCTATGTACCCCAATGTGATTTTTAAAAAAAATGTCTTTAATAATTAGTAAGATTCGAGTTAGAATATTTATTATCAAAAAAAATCTCCAAGAATTTTAAAATTTTTATAAGAAAAAAATTATATCTAATATGCGTCATTTTGTTAAATCAGAGTTATTTATAAGTTTAAATAAAAGTTGGTTATAGAGTTGAAAGGCTCATTAATTAGTTTTAACTGTCATAGATATTATGTATATTAAACGAGGTGATTTGTTTGCCGTGGTGCTTTAGGTCAGAGGTGAGTTTATTGATATTCTCTAAGGCTTGCCAAGCCGATCTTTGGTAATCCTCCTTTTCTTTCACCAAACTTTGTACATCACTTTCCAAGTTTAGTAGTTTCGCCTTATAAAAAAAATATATAATTGATTATAAATAGAAATGGAGCATCTTAATTAGATCCAGAAAGTTCTATTATAATAGACAGTAAAAAAATAAAAAAATTATAAGTGCTGTAAAGGTAACGTTATTAATTAATGCCTTTTCACCTTTTTAAGGCAAATAACATCATTCTTTACTACTTTATTAGAAAGTAACGAAATTTTCTTTCTTGAGTGTAAAATAATGATACACGTTTAGCTTAAGGAAACGGTCGTCATCACATCTGATTTATTATTTCTACGAGTCTGTTGATAATGACAAGACCTGTCATATTTGACAGATGTACTCAAAACGATTAAATTTTATTAAATTAAAAACCCTTCTTATATTCTTTTTTTAAATTTAACGAAAATAAAAATATTAATTTAAGGAGAGTTTTTCAGATCAAATGAAAAAATTTATATATTAAATTTAAATTTTATCTATCCACCGAAACTGACATGTTTCGGCACATGCCAACGAGTTTATAATACAAATTTTTATGAAGTTAATTTATTTTAGTAAAAAAAATAATTCTTTAAATATTTTAAACCAATAATTATATTTTTTAAATTAACACTCCATCATCGGCATCAGTTGAACCTGTCTGTAGCACGTCAAAAGTTGTGTTTAACTGATAAAAAAAACATCCTTTTTATCAGATGAGAAATTTTTGAAAAGAAATTATGCTAAAAATATATTTTGAAAAATGCTATGCAAATTTAAATTTTTTCTAATACATTTTAATTTTTTTTTATAACTATATTTTTCAATCATAATTATTAATGTTTTTTTTTATAACATTTGAAACATAACATTTAAAAAAAAATATCTGCTAGAGTATTCTATTTTGAAAGTAACGAAAGAAGTTACTTAATTGAAAAAGTACCGTTAACGCGTTTCTTTTTTTGGAAGTTAACAAGTAAGGTAACGAATGACCTTCCCTTTTCGGACAGTAATGTAAAAGTAACGGCGTTACATTTTTAAAGTAAGTTTTACAGCACTGAAATTTATAATTAAAATAGTTTATTTTATATTCTGATGAATAAATCCTTCCTAATTAAATTTTAAATCCTATAGAGTTAATAATCAGTAAAAAAAATTGGAGCAGATTTTAATATTATTCGCTATTAGAGTAGGATTAAGTATCCCGAAATGGGTCATGGCAAGACCAGGGTATACCATCTTTGGACCGTCATACCATATGCTAAAAAAAAGAAAAAAGGGGGGGGGGTTTGACCGGTTATATTTATTGGGTAATGAGAAAAACAGGATTTAAAAAAAACCCAACTTACTTTAATAAAAAAATGTTTAAAAAAAGGTCGTCAAGAATGGGTTAGAATATTCTTAAAGACATTTTCTTCTGATTCGGAGTCGTAAGGAATCAAAAAAGGTTTTTTCAAGCAGGACCTTTTCTAGATAAAGAAATTTAAATTGTCGTCCCCTTTAATAAATTGTTCAAATTATTTTTATTTTACTAGAGCGCCTATAAATTATCTTTTTTACTAGAGCAAAAAAAATCGTTGGGTAGGGGGAAGGGAGATGAAGAAAAAATAATAAATAAGTGTGAAGCAAGCAGAGCACTTTAAAAAAAAAAATCAAGTTTATTCGAAAAAACTTGTATGGGCAGGATTTTGGGCTTGAGATATTCGATTTGTTCCTTCGCGAATTTGATCGACGCGAACAACTCACCCTTTTTATCTTCAAGCTGTGTTCTCTTTTGAAGACCACTTTAAGATAAATAATTTTTGTAATAAAAAAAAGCGTTATTTCGTCTTAATAGTTTAATCTCGTTTGAAAAACTTGGCAACCTTAATTTTAAGTTTTTTTCCGAAACCCATAAATGTTTTAGGTCTTTTATAAATTTTATATATTTTTCCTTTCCACAATAAATTTATTAAAATATTTTTGAGGTGAAATTTTCAATTTAAAAGCACATAATTATGGAGTTAAGAAGACCTTTTCTAAAAAATGGTAAAGAAAAATAAACAATTGTTTTTTTTCCGATTCGAAAACCAATTCATCTTGTTTTTAATTGTATAAGCCGCTTTGATATTTAATTTGAAGCATACTATGGTCTAATTTTACGAAGTTTCCCTTCCGGCTAGAGGGGGGAGGGTTCCCGATATTTTCTTACAGAAATCAAGAACTATATCAAATTTATTTGTAATAGCTAGTAAAATTTATCTTCAAAGATCTGAAATAGCACTATTAATAATTTTGCCTTTCTAATTCACTTTTACATACACACAAAAAATTTTTTTTAAAATGTACATATCTAAAAAAACAACAAAGAGTATGCATTTGTTTATCATTTTCCCAACTTTGGCAGCGACAAGTCGAACAATTTAGCTTTTTTTTCTAAATGGTAAAAATACGTGTTTGTTATATCCTTAGATGAGATATTTATATTTTAATCTTGGGACATTTCTTTCATGTATATATGATATAATCTCTATTTCTATAATCAAATTCATTTTAGTTTCGTTCTTATATATCGTTATATTCAAAAATATACTAATGCAAATTTATATCTTAGATTTGATAGAACATTTCATTAAATACATTGTATAGAAATGATTTAGTTCAATGATAATAATAATGCATTGAAACAAAATATTAATAAAACTCCAAGCTATTAAAGTATTTTATTTTTTGATATAAGTCAGAGACTTGCAGGCCCGGACCGTATTTTAATTTTTTTAAATATATCCGGGCTAGGTCAGGTCTGAATATTTTTTTTTAAAAAAACCCAGGCCGGGCGGTATAATTTAAAACCAAATATTTTAAATCGCCATTATTAGCTATAAAAATTACAAATAAATAAAATATATTTTAAAAAAAATTTGGGCCGGGCCTAAAAATATAAAACCTGGGCCGGGGCGAAAAACTTTCTTAAAAAATCCGGGCGGCCGAGCTATGCAAATTATACCTCTGCAAGTTTCTTATAAAAATAATAATAAACCTCTGAATTTTCAACTTTTCACCCTGTAACGCGTTGATTTTGCGTTCCAGCCTCTGGAGTCTATCGTTGTGATTTGACAGTTTTTGTTTCTTGAATTCAATTTCCTTGTTCAAACTTTCGGCCTTAAGATCGAGTTCTTCCTTCTCTTCCAATACAGAATTTAAGTTTCTATCATCTTCACCTTTTTTAAAAAATATATATTTTAGTACTATATTTGTCATACTTTTTTTCTTAACAAATGAAAACAAGATTGATCACAAGTAGGGGTGGGACCAATACCAATATAATATTGGTTTACAATACCAATACCAATATAAACCAATATATATTTAAATATTGGTATTGCTTTTACAACCAATACCAATACCAATTACCTAAATATATTGGTTTTGATATATTGTTTAAATACAATTTTAACCAATACCAATATTAAAAATAACATAATTATTTGGGTTTATCGTGGATAATTATATCGTGGTATTTTTTTTACTTTCATTGCAAAAACTGATTACATCTGTTATTTCTTCCAAATACTACTGTGATATCAATATTTCTGTTATTTATAATTATAGTTTATTTTTATTATGGTATTAAATTTTTTACATGATATCTATCAATTTTATCTATTTATTTAGGATATTATAATAAATGAAGACCAAATAGAGTTAATAAATATAGATGCTGTTGGTACTAATAATAATAGCGATAAGGAACAAGAAGAATTATCAATATCTAATAAAAGACGAAATTCAGCAAAAATGGGAATTTTATACTACTTATGATAATAAAAAAAAAAGGCAATTTGTAATAAATATAAAAAAAAAATATCACTTCCCAATTTTGGAACCTCAGGATTATGGACACATCTTAAATCCATCCACCCAACATTATATAAGAAATGTGAGCAAATAAATATTGGCAGTAAAAAAATTAAGACAATAAAATCATTTTTACTTAATAATATAAATAATAAAGCTAATTTAAATAATTTAATTATAAACTTTTTCATTCAAAATAATTTAGCCTTTTCAATAGTTGAGGATATCACTTTTAAAAATTTAATAGCATATTGTAACCCTTCACTAACATTAGTTTCTAAAAAAACACTAAAAATAGAAATTATGAAATATTATCATAGTTCTTTTATCAATTTAAAATCTGTACTTTCTAACATTACATCTAAATTTTCCTTAGCAATAGACATTTGGTCCTGTTTAAATAAAATACCCTTTATGGGCATAACAATTCATTATATTGATAATGATTTTAAATTAAATAATCATTTATTAGATTTTATTCCTTTTAAATCAGCACATAATTCTATTAATATTTTTAATATTTTTAATTCTGTATTAAAAGTAAAATTTGAAATTGATTTTTTTACATTACATTAGACAATGCAAGTAATAATTTAGCATTTCTAAAAATTTTAAAACAAAAAGATAATTTTGATAATGTGTGCAAATGCTTTTGCTATATTATACATTTGGCTGTCATGGCTGCATTGGAACCCTTAAATACAACTTTAAAAAAAATAAGAAATTTTTTTAAAATTTTTAAACTTTCTATATCTAAATTTAATAAACTCGAAAAAATATATCTTGAAAAAAATCCACACTTAAAATTTCCTCACCCAATTTTGGATATACCAACACGTTGGAATTCAACATACCAAATGCTTGATAGAGCAATATTGCTCAAACCCTATTTGACAACATATACCAATCATTTACAAAATACCAATCAAGAAAATTATATTAGTGCATTAGCCTGGAATAATATAGAAATATACCGAGAATTTCTGGAATCATTTAATTTTGCTACAGAGATGGCCTCATGTGCTAACACTACAACAATTTCAACAATTATTCCTTTATATTCCAGTATTTTTGAGCATGTGGAGAATTATAATAATAATCCTAATTCTATTTTAAAGACAGCTTCTTTAGATGCCTTAACAAAACTTAATAAATACTATAATTATAATAAACACCTCTTTATTATTTCAACAATGATTGACCCAAGATTTAAACTATCAAGTCATTTATTAAAGCATAATAATATGCAAACTCTTATTGGATATCTTACTAATGAATACAATAGTTATAAAATAAATAATAACAATTCAGCGGAACTTACAAATGAAGCACAAAATAACAAAAAATTGTCCTTTTATGACAAAATTTATCAGGTGAAACCTCATAATAATAACAACTTAGAAATAAGTAAATACGTAGATGAAGCCACAATTTCCAATGATACAAATCCATTAGATTGGTGGAAATTAAATAAAAATAGATATCCAGTATTATCAAAATTGCCAGAGATTATCTAGCAATTCCGGCCACCTCATCTAGCTCTGAAAGGGCTCTTTCAGAAGGACGGTATGTTATAACAGATTAACGTTGTTCACTAAATGAGCATACTATACAAGCTTGCCTGTGCCTAAAAAGTTGGATGCGCATGCAAGATTCTTCTTAAATACATAAAATTATTTCCTCTTCTTATATTAAAATTATATCATTCTTTTGCATTATATTTTGTATAAATAGACAGTTATGTTACATTTTTAGTTTACTTATTTTGCTATGTTCTTTGTGATAAATAAAATGGTTCAAAATCAATACGTTTATTATTGTTGATACAAAAAATACATGATTAAAACAAAATTTTTTATATTCACATCACCTAATAAATTCCTAGTTTAAAAAAAGAATTTGAATTCAGTAAAATTTTGAGAGTTGGTTCTTAGCCCTGATTTTATGGTATCATCATTTTTTTTCCCATGTTTATTTAAAATTAGAAATTAAGGGTTTTATAATCACTATTTCTATTCTTTTAATTAGTAATTTGAATTTAAACCAATACCAATATAAACCAATAGTTACCAATATAAACCAATACCAATAGCAATACCATTACAAGAAATAGAAAATATTGTTTAAACCAATACCAATATTTTAGACCCAATACCAATACAATATTTTGTTAATATTGGGTTTTTACTATTGGTTCCCAGCCCTAATCACAAGTATTAGTCAGCTGATAAATCAAATTAGTAAAACTCTAACGAGTATTTTTAAGGGGAAGTTATATGGGTTAAAGGTGAATAACTTTTCCAGGTCTACTCCAGCTAGAGGTTAGCGCAGGCTGGCTCGTGGGCCTAGCAAAATTTTCTTTTGTGTAATTTGTTCTAAAATGAATTTCATGGGTTGGGCTGAAAACCCCGATAAAAAATTTCGGTGGGCCATAACTCAAATTTTTTAAAACTAATTTAATACACCCTTAATCGGGCATACTACACTAGAAGTGTGTATCATTTCAAATCGGCAAAATCATTCGAAGTAAAATTTTCAAAATATTATTTTATAATTAGCAGGTCTAAACGTTTTTTAAATGATAACAAAATATAGTTTTAAAAAATTGACAGATACTTCACAAGTAGCGTTATTAAAAATAACTGCGAATAGTTAAACTAGAAAAGAAAAATGATGTAAAGATAATAACAATACTTTTCAAGTTACATTTTAAAATAAATAATATATATATCTTATTCATTATCTTTATATGATGATTTCCGAAATTTAACATTATAGTTTATTAAACTTAATATCACACTCACATCAAGCGCTCTTTTTAATATAGGGAAGTTTATTGGAGAAAAACAAGCAGTATTTTTAAAATATATTGTTAGAATCAATTTTTTTTTTTTATTAAGTTCAATTTTTTGAAAAATAAATGCTATATTGTGATATATTATCATAGCAATTATTTCTTTAAATTGTATTTTCATTTATATTCCTGTGATCGAATAAATCGCTAAATAATATGATAAAAATGATGAGTTTAGGTTATTTTTAGAAACAATTTGTAAAGTAACTTGCAATGTAACTAATTGTAATTTTAAATGTAACTAGTTATTACTTATGAAATAATATAAACTAGTAACCTTTAACAACACTAATTCTATAAGGTAAAATGCAGAATAGTCACTTTTTCCATTAGCCAAATAAACCCCGTTTTTTAACCCGTTTATAGCATAGTTCCCATCCCACCTTTCTAAGCTTTTAACTTAGATATACCTTTTTTTAAACCAATCTCATTAAAACTATTTACCAACATACTTACTTAATTTTTCTCTACTATCTCATAATCACAATCTTATAGTTTTTTAAAAAATTTTTTTTAGAATACTATCAATATCGGCTGATTTCTGGGATTCAATAGCGCATCGCTCCTTCAAATCCGCGATATCTTTGCACAATTTATCGTAAATGATAGCGTCTTTAATCAAATTTTTGGCCTGAGTCCCCTCCGCGTTCAAATAGCTCAAAACTTTTTGTTCCTATAGTAAGAATTTGCAAAAAAAATCATTTATTTTTATAAATAATTCAGTTATCGACTAAATCTGAGAGATGGATATAAGGATTATACGTTTTCTAATTGTTCAGTCACTTCGCAAATTTTTTGTTCCAACGTTAAAAGAACAGTCTTTATCTTGGGTATATCAACGCGTTTATATTTATCGACCTAAAAAATATACCTTTTTTAAACATCTTCAAAATTTATATTTATTGCGGAAAAAAATAGTTGGTAACAATAACTGTAACCAGCGTTTTGATTTCTGAAACAGAAACGTATAATAACAAAATTATTAAAAGGAGTGAACTAAACTCTATAAATTTTTTGAACCCCCTTTCAAAATGGTTTTCATAAATTTATATTGCGACCTAATTTAGCATTTTCGAAAGGCAAACATGTTTGCGTTTTTATTAATATTTATAAATTGTTATCAACTTGCATGATCCCATTTGAAATTTATTGTTTGCGTTTTGCGCATAACGAAACGCAAACGCTCAATTAGGTATCACTAAAAGACCTTTTTAAATAATCAAAGTATACTTTTCTGTAGTTTTGTAAAAGCGATTTAAACAAATTCTTAGAAATTAATCTTGCATATCAATATTATCCCTTTAAAAAAATTATTTCCTATTTTTTTATTATTATACTTACAACGTACTCCTCCACCACTAATATGCGTTTCCATTTTGGACCTCCCTCCCCTAGAAATCATATGATTTGCAGATAGTTTTTAACTATTTGGTACTATAGGATAGGTTATAAAAGACCGGCATGTGGGTAAAAAAAAAGACTTTTGAAATAATAATCAATAGCGAAGCCCTCTGAGAAGTCTTAAAATGACGTGGGTCAAAGTAATAAAGGGTGAAATGAGAAAAAATGGATCTTACAAATGGCGATACCCAGGGGTAAAAAAAATAAAAGAGGTATCAGAGGGGAACTGACATATCCGGGTAAACCCCCGGAACAGCCATTTAAACGGAGGAGAAAGTAGAAGATATGAATAATTAGCATACCTAAAATTTTAAATAGATGTAAAAGTAAATTTTATTATATTTTAAAAAATTACGGAAGAATTCTTGGGCTTGAGTTCCAACAATTCGTGATATTGGCCTTCGAATTTATCTATGGACGTGTTAGTCTCGGCTAATTTAGGGGGAATGATGCTTAGTTTTCTTTCTAGGTCTTTGATCAAATCGTCTTTTATATTAAAATATCAATTAATGTATTTATAATAGAATACCACAAATACCCAATATTTGTAGCGGTCGATACTTATGTATTTTTTCTCGATATTATATTACTCAATTTTCTAAAGGTTAGTTAAATTAAGTTTTGTTCATGTTTCATATAAGTATCGGTGGGTGATATTAGCAAGTTAATCAGGAGTATATCGGTAAAAAAAATGTAATAGACGCATCTCTGTTATTTAGTGTTTTATTTAGTTATAAAGGCTGTCTCCAATTCCACTTAAAAAAAATTTTTTAAACCAAAAGTTTGTTCGTTAGAAGTAGCACCAGCTCGCTTGTTAGAAGAAGTTCCTTGGAAATTTCTGTTGCATATAGGACAACATTTTATATCCTTCAGTCTATCCGAGAATTTTTTGTATATGGTTTGAGAGCCTAATAGGGCACCTTTGCGTCTTATAATGATAAAATTAATGAATAATAATTATTATATATTAATGAGAAAAAACAAGAATATCATTCTCTCTTTATAAATTGTTATATCAAATATTTACTCGTGTAAATCGTTTAAACTTTGTTCCAAATTTGACAACTCTTCACCGATATCTTTCATATTGCACAGCTGATTAGAAAATTAAAAAAAATTTTTTTTAATGAATTGATTATATAAATGATCGAAAAACAATAAAAATCATATCAAATTTTTTTGCCATTTATTAGGGAAACTAATTCATATGTAATCGATACATAAAAAATAATTACCATATAAGCTTTGGGGGGATAGTCTAAAATTATGCATATAATATTTTCAGGGTTGGCCAGTATCGCGGATATTTGTATCCTAGATACAAAATTTTGATCATTTGTATCTGGAACAATTTTTTTTAAATATGATATCTAATTCTAAATTTTTTGAAGAACATTTACTCGCCAAAGATAAATGTTTAAAAGAATAGTGCTAATGAACAAATAGGGATTATAAATTTTATAATAATTTTATTTTTACTTCATTCCAATAAGATGATTATTAACAAATTATAATTAAAACGATTGACTAACTTCTAGGATTTCTTGTTCACACGAAGCTAACTCTTTTTCGAACTCCTCCAATTTTTCGGTGGAATGGGAGTTTTCTGCCTTTAAAGTAGATAGTTCCACGTTTATATTGCTCAATCTTTCTTGCGACTCATTTATGGCTTGAGATTTTTGCCTGGATTCATAAAAAATTATATTATATTGACTTGCAATAATTCGAATATGTGCATATATAGCTAGAGATTAAAAAAAAAAGAGTAATGGGCGCCCTTATAAACCTTTTAATGGTAGGATATGAGTATAAGCCACATTTCTCGCAAGCTATTTTGTTGTATATTGGTACTAGTGATCTGCATCGAGTCTAATTTTTCAAACCCGGCCCGGCCCTAAATTTTTTTAAAAAAGTTTTGCCGGCCCGGCCCGAAATTTCTTTTAAAAAAATTTACCGCCCGACCCAAATTTATTTAAATATAGAAATTAATTTTTATAATTACTCAAAATAAAAGACATATGTTATATGGCGTTTAGTTTCAATAAATAAAATCAAATTACATAAAAAATTCAATATAAAATTGTAGGGCTGTGCCGATATTAAATATCGGATCGGATCGGCACCAATATTTAGCGTTTTCTGAAAATATCGGATCGGACCGATACCTTTAAGAACCGATCCGATCCAATCTTTTTACTTTTCTTTTTTTGTTATTTTATTTTATGTTATGTATATTTATTTTACATTATAATATTTTCCAAATAATTTTTTTTAAATTTCATTTCTTATTTAAAATAGATTTATAGTATTTTAAAAGTTTTTTTTATAAAAATAGAAAGGAACACCCAAAGTTTTATTTATTTTAAATCTTTTTAAATAACGATAATTTTTTTATTTATACTTTAAATAAAAGAATTTTTTTTAAATATGGTATCTGAATTATAGAAATATTTTACAAAAGACAAAGATAATTTTGCAAAATACGTTATCTGCGGAATCACCTGAATCTGCCTTCAGTACGGCAGGAGATATAGATAGTCCATATAGTAGAAGCTTATTCCGAGAAAATCTAGAGGCTCTCATATTTATTTTAAAAAATCTAATATATTATAATTTTATATATTAAATTTTACAATTTTATAATTCCAACATAAAATGGACATATTATTAAACATATATTTTTTTTATTATAGCCTTAATTGTAGAAATAAAAAAAATTAAATTATCCATAATTCGATTTTTTGCATAAAAAATATTGATTTCTTAATTACATTTGATTCAAACAGTGGTGATTAAAAATCAGTAAAAATATCGGATCGGTATCGGATCGGTGAAATATATGTGGATCGGCCCGGCTATAAAATTGATAAATTTAGATATATTTAAAAAAAATTCCAAGGTCCGACCCGACCCGGCCCAAATTTTTATAAAAATATTAGGCCCGAGCCCGGCCCGAAGCCCGTTCGGACCAGACTAGGGCTGGGTACAGGCCTAACCTTGCAGATCTCTAATTGGTACCTTGACATTTTAAAACACCCTCCTTATTGTTTTATTTGGGTAATGATTAGATCCTTTTTTTCAACCTATATTGCAAGCCCTAGATATTAGAATTTTAAAAAATTGTCAAATACAACTTATTTACTTTTTCTATTTCTGGAAGATAATAGGGTTGTGTGCCCAAATACACATGAAATTAAGAGAGCCTTGGAGATTAAGACTTCCCTCCCATGAATTACTAAATATTTGGCTGTTCCTTTCTTACACTTTTCACGGCAACCAGTTTGTAGCAAATTTCGTTTTGCCACATTATGATTTTGTCCTATTTGCACCGAACTTCTGGTACAGTTGAAATTGTATAAGTTATTATATGCGTCCTTTCGGTGGTATTTGAATCATGTAATGCAATCACGTCTAAAGCCATGAGTTAATGAGTAGATTATCGAAAAATATATAGTAGTGTCTGGATGATTCAATTTTCCCAATTCAATGTAAATTCTATACATATGGAAATGAATAAATCAATAAATTGGCAAACATGTAAACGAATATAAGTTGCAACAATTGTGATGGTTATATCATAATTTTTTTTCTCTAAAATCCTTCGAGCTCTATCAATAGATGGGCACCTATAAAAGTGCTTAACATAGTGATTCGCACCGTTATCAAGGTAAGAAAGATGCAAATTGGTTACGGTAAAATGGCAAGAAAACCAAATGATAAGTGAGAAAAAATTTAACTATTCATTTGCACAAACAAAATATAGACACCAACAAAAAAATATCTCGCAGGAAATGTTTATTATACCCCAAAATAATTATTTTGTAAATTTTCACCTTAATTAATATAAGGTAAATTTAAATATTATGTAAAGCTTGTTAGTTTTTAAATAAATATATAAATGTTATTCCTGGTATATTAAATATTCTTGAAAAAAAATAACCGAAATTTTTAATTTCATCAGGTATATTTGAGCACGAAATTCGTAAAATATTTTACAGTAAATTTAGCAAACCTGATATAATAGTGAGGCATGAGAAGATTATTATTAGTTATAGTGAAAAACAAAATAAGTAGTAATATTTTAACATAGAGCATGCAATGCAGGGATATTAAAATAAATGAAATATTACAATGAAATAGATAGTAATTAACATAAAAAGGGTAAAATATAACTTAAATGTAATTCATACAAACCTAAGATAACGTTCCAGCCCACCTTGAAAACGTTCATGTTCCGCCATATCTCCCTCGGAATCCAATGATGATTGGTCTTTATCATCACTATCTTGCACTGCTATGAGTTTTTTAATGACTACCATTTTGCCCTGTAACCCATTGCGCTCGGTTTCTTTGGAAGCTATATCTACTCTGAGCGATTTAATCCTGTCTCTCAATTGCGAATTGTTGTGCAATTTGCTCAAGAGAGTATTAAGAGAGCTTACCCGACTATCCACTTTAGTCTTGGAGAATTGCAAAGAAACGATGTCCTTTTTCAGCCTCTCTTCGACTGTTCCTTCACTGTTATTATTAATATTGAAGATTGAAGAAGTATGATCAGTGTTAACGTTGACAGATGTAGAGGAGTCATTATTAGAATTGGTATGGTGTTCCTTAGTTTTATTTCTGTTGGGAGATTCGTAAGTTGAGTTATCGTCCAAAATGGAACCAAGAGTTTCCCGTTTGATTTCGAATTCCTTATTTGAATAAATGGATTTTAAAAAAAATATAAAGGCGACCATTTTTGGCCAACACAAAAGATCTAAAGTTAGGTCGAGACTCGAGACAAAGATGAACGGTGATTTAATTGTAAATACTTTAATATTTTATTATATTTTGCGAGGGTAAGCTTTCATCCAAAAAAAAATTACTACATAATAAAAATAGTTTTAGGGTTCAAGAAAAAAAAATATAATTTTTTTTCAGACCGTTTTTCTGATGTCCTTGTCGATGGTATCGAGCCTTTCTTTATCGCTTGCCATGCTATTAAGTTCGCGATTAAGCGTTTTTATATCGGACTCGTTGGTTTCGAGCGTTCTCCCGTGGACTTGAAGCTCACTTTCCACTTTGGCTTTTTCTTCCTTGCATGTGTCTACATGGCGTCTTTGAACATCTATTTTATCGTCCAGAATTCGCTGCAAAGGTGGAAATTTTTTTTTCCAGAAAATATATAATGGAAGATGCATATTCTGCTAAAAAAATTATTTTGTCTTCCTAATACCTTCAATTTTTTAAAGAATATATTCATATTAGAGCTGAGCAGTGTCGAAAAAATAACATTTAAAATTTTATATAATAAATTTAACATTTTATTTAGATTTGGTAAAATCCAAAGTTTGTTTTTCGCTTAAAATTTTGAGCTAAAAAATATTTGAAGATCCCAAAATCATATATTTTTTTAGAAGTTCAAATTATTGACTTCATCATACAAAAAATTTTTCAGTTTGAGCATTCTCAAAAAAAAAATTTTCGATATCAAAATTTTTTAAATATTTTTCATTTTGAAAAGAACTGGCAAAATTCCAAAGCCTAAATGATTGTATTATGCCCTCTTTCTTTATTGTAATTTTCGAAGTCAGATTATGAATTATATTATAAATAAATAATTTTTTACTCTTTGTTTGGTATGCGTGGCGTCTAATTTTTTTTTCTCCGCGTCCAATTCGTCCAACAACCTAGAGTACACCTTTATTTCGATGTCGTGTTGTGCAGAGACGTTATTTTCATTAATATTATCAATATTAATTGAGAATTTTTTTTGATGAATATTCCAATCGGTTAAATCTTTTTTTAGACATTTTTTTTGCATTTAATAATAGATGAGGGTTGGGTTTACTAATTTCAAAAACTACTATTTATTCGATTCAATAAAAATATACCTTCATTATTTTATGCCTAGTGGAGTTAAATTTTATGTATTTTTAAAGTTGATATAATACATAATAACAATTTCTAACTAAATAAATTTTTGTGGCTATGGGAAACTTTAAATTGATCATTTTGACAAAAGTATTTTTTTTAAAATTAATATTTAACTATTATTGTATTTGACCATACGAATTTTTATGTGGTCTAAAGATGGTTCATTTTTAGATATAAATTCAATCCTTAGGAGGATATTAAATAGTAAGATTGTGACAAAAATGGGCAGATTTTAATGGATCAAATATTGACCAGCATATTTTTTTCAATGTTTCTTTATTGTAATAGAAATTGTTTAAAACGATTATACTTATAAAATAAATAGTAATATATCAAGATAAATTATTTATTATAATCATTAACTTTCAGATGACAATATCTTGGTTAAGTGTTTGGAAATGTAGGCATCTCGCTGTTTTAATAGTTGGGCAAAATTTTGCTTCTCCTTTTCCAAAGCCATTTTACGCATGTAAAGAACAGAATTCTGTTCTTCCAAAGTGTGACCGCTCTTATCTATATTGGCATTTTGGGTTTCCAACTAATGAAAATGGATATAAAGGATACTAATACTATTATACTCAAAAAAATGTAGCAATAATTTCTCCAGAGAAAAAAAAACAGTTGAGGGCATTCTTACCACAATATATACATTTTATCTAAAAGTGGGAGAGGTGGCACTTTTTATCCTAATAAAATTATATTCATTCCCTACCCCTAAACAAGGCTTGGAATAACCGGGGAAAAAATTCCTCGAATATTCAGATTCCAAGCTTTTTGCTTTTGATTTATTATACTCATATCATAGAAATCCTCATCATTTAAATAAGTTATAATTGGCGTTTATAATTCCATTATTTGATATATATATTATATATATATATAATATATTTTATATATATTTAAATTATTATTATTAAATGATTGATAGATGTCAATTATTATAAATATATATTTAGTTAGTAATAATATTGATTTTGTTGATATTGATTTTTATATCGGCGCGGAAGGTTTTGGTAATAACAAAAGAAAAACGAAGGTTTTTGTATTGATGGATTTATTATTATAAAAATTATGAAATTGATATAAAAAATTTATGGATTATATTTTATGAAAATAGAATAAAGAAATACCTAGAAATTAATAGAAAAAAATACTAAATAGAATATATTTAAATTGAGAGATTAAATATATATCAAGAAATATTAAGAGATTAAATATATATTAAGAAATCTAAAATATAGAGTTATTTTAGAATTAATAGATAAAAGTTAGAGTTATTTTATTGGTGCCGTGACCAGGCTGAAAGAATGGTAGCTATAGTGAAAAGTTGGTTAAAGAAATCTAAACAAGAGAAAAATGAAGTATGGTTAGCCCAGTTATATTATAATAATTCAAGAAATAAAGAGGGAGTTACTCCTGTTGAATTATTTTTGGGTAGAAGAACCAGATTACCTTTAGATTTTCTTAAATCAAAAGAGATCGATAATTTAGAATCTTATGGAAAAAGCAATATAAAATTTCCTGTGGGTCAAATTATTTGGGGAAGACTTTTTGACCATAAAAAAAATGGGAAAAAGGTATTGTTTTGGATAATATTGGGAATAAATTGTGTAATATAAAGTTTGATGATGGTACTGTGGGAGTACGTCATAATGATTTTATTAGGGTATATGAATAAAAAAAAAATAGTAATAAATTTGTCCATAAAGACCGGAAACAAAGTTCCTATAAATCTTGAGAACAAACTTACTTTGTACTTAAACAAGTTAGAGTTATTTTATTTAAAATAACTCTAACTTTTATCTATTAATTCTAAAATAACTCTATATTTTAGATTTCTTAATATATATTTAATCTCTTAATATTTCTTGATATATATTTAATCTCTCAATTTAAATATATTCTATTTAGTATTTTTTTCTATTAATTTCTAGGTATTTCTTTATTCTATTTTCATAAAATATAATCCATAAATTTTTTATATCAATTTCATAATTTTTATAATAATAAATCCATCAATACAAAAACCTTCGTTTTTCTTTTGTTATTACCAAAACCTTCCGCGCCGATATAAAAATCAATATCAACAAAATCAATATTATTACTAACTAAATATATATTTATAATAATTGACATCTATCAATCATTTAATAATAATAATTTAAATATATATAAAATATATTATATATATATATAATATATATATCACGACCGCCCAAAAAAAAAACAAGACGTGATAATAAAAAAAATATGTGAACTGGAAATTTTTACATTTATATATTATCTTTGTCTTCCTTCAACATCTCTTCTTCTTCAGTCTCCATATGAATATATTTCTTTTGTAAATCGATATTGTCATTCACTTTAATCACTGTTGAACCCATCTTAGTAGCCTTGTCACTGGTATTTTGCGTCTTAGCATAATATTTGTATTTATTCTCCATCAAGATATTTGATTCTCTCAAGTTTTTAGCTTATATATTATTTGCTCTTTTAAACCTTCCTTCATAATTATGCGGAGGCCATGGTCTATTACCGTATTGGTTACTAGATTCAATTTCATTTGTTTTATTATAATTTACATATTTATCCCCCGATATTACATTTTTATTTTTTCCACAAAAATAACTGGTTGTAGGGACTTCCTCCGAGTCACTCACATAATCATTACACTCTTGTTTCATCAATACCTTAGTTGGTATCATACAATTTTTAATGGAGTGTCCGAAACTTCGGCATCTAAAGCATCTTTTATAAATATCCCCTTTATCCTTTTTAATGAATAATTTCTTCTTTTTAACTATTTTCACATAAATAATTTGATCGGATGTTTCAATTTTATAATTCATCACGATATATATATTTCAATATATATATATATATATATTTTTTTTTAAATAAATATTTTTTAAAAAAAATTTAATTTTTTAAATTATAATTACTGAATTTTTCTTTTCTTTTTAAATATTTATAATTTGTAAATTACCCTTCTGTAATTTTTTAAATAAAAACCATTATAAAGAACACTCAAGTTATTTACTTATATATATATTTTTTTTTATATGTTATTTTTCCATTAGCTTAAATGAAAAAAAACAAATCACTAATTAATTAACATTTTTTTTAACATTTATAATATCCCTATTTAATTCATATATAACATTAATTTCTTCAATTTCTATAATACACATTATTTATATTTTTCCCTTATGTAAATTATACAAAGAAAGAAACTTTCATGAAAACACACTCATGTTTTTATTTAAAAACTAAATATTTTGTTTATTTTTACTTTTATCTCCATATAAGAAATTTTGTTTCTTTTTACTTTTCTTTCTATATAAGTAATTCTCGAACTTATCATAAAAAAAAATATTTTTTACAATAAACTCATAACACATGCTCATTTTTTTTTTCGAAATTAATTTTTAAATCACGTAAAAACATAATTCCATAATATATGGAAAATATATTATAAAGTTTCAATTATCTACTATTATTCTCTCAATAATTAAAAATTTAGAATCACTATATCTAAATTATAAGAGTATTATGAAATTTTTTAAAATGTAACATATATACCCAGCGTAGATTTTCTCATAAATCTGCATGTTCAAAAAATTTATTTAAAAAATTACAGAAGGGTAATTTACAAATTATAAATATTTAAAAAGAAAAGAAAAATTCAGTAATTATAATTTAAAAAATTAAATTTTTTTTAAAAAATATTTATTTAAAAAAAAATATATATATATATATATATTGAAATATATATATCGTGATGAATTATAAAATTGAAACATCCGATCAAATTATTTATGTGAAAATAGTTAAAAAGAAGAAATTATTCATTAAAAAGGATAAAGGGGATATTTATAAAAGATGCTTTAGATGCCGAAGTTTCGGACACTCCATTAAAAATTGTATGATACCAACTAAGGTATTGATGAAACAAGAGTGTAATGATTATGTGAGTGACTCGGAGGAAGTCCCTACAACCAGTTATTTTTGTGGAAAAAATAAAAATGTAATATCGGGGGATAAATATGTAAATTATAATAAAACAAATGAAATTGAATCTAGTAACCAATACGGTAATAGACCATGGCCTCCGCATAATTATGAAGGAAGGTTTAAAAGAGCAAATAATATACAAGCTAAAAACTTGAGAGAATCAAATATCTTGATGGAGAATAAATACAAATATTATGCTAAGACGCAAAATACCAGTGACAAGGCTACTAAGATGGGTTCAACAGTGATTAAAGTGAATGACAATATCGATTTACAAAAGAAATATATTCATATGGAGACTGAAGAAGAAGAGATGTTGAAGGAAGACAAAGATAATATATAAATGTAAAAATTTCTAGTTCACATATTTTTTTTATTATCACGTCTTTTTTTTTTGGGCGGTCGTGATATATATATTATATATATATATAATATATTTTATATATATTTAAATTATTATTATTAAATGATTGATAGATGTCAATTATTATAAATATATATTTAGTTAGTAATAATATTGATTTTGTTGATATTGATTTTTATATCGGCGCGGAAGGTTTTGGTAATAACAAAAGAAAAACGAAGGTTTTTGTATTGATGGATTTATTATTATAAAAATTATGAAATTGATATAAAAAATTTATGGATTATATTTTATGAAAATAGAATAAAGAAATACCTAGAAATTAATAGAAAAAAATACTAAATAGAATATATTTAAATTGAGAGATTAAATATATATCAAGAAATATTAAGAGATTAAATATATATTAAGAAATCTAAAATATAGAGTTATTTTAGAATTAATAGATAAAAGTTAGAGTTATTTTATTATTAAAGTTTAATATGAATCGATTGAGAAACTCTGATATATCTAGACCTGTGCGCCTTTTTGGTTACGCCGAAAACGCCACCGTTAAGAAAATCACGCAGGCGCACCGCCGATTTTCATATCGGCGGCGCACGGCCGGCGCAGAAATTTCTTTCTACCTTTTATTCTAATAATTGGTCAACATCACTCTTGTAATTTTTTAATGTCAATCAGGATTTTGATGAATTTTTACCTTCTATTTTAAAATCTTAATTATATTGACGTCATTAGAGAATTCAATTAATCAAAAATCTAATTCCAAAAGTTACCATAATTTTACATATTTTTAAAATGGATGCATCTACTTTAATAATTTAAATAATTTTAGTATCCTAACTCTAGATAATAAAAAATTCATAGTCTGGAAATTTTTTGCAAAAGAATTAGAGAAATTATTACTGCTCTAAGATAGGAAACTGCAGAGGTTGAATTTGAATTCGAGGAATATCAAAGAAAATGCCTAAGTACAATAGATTTAACATCAGACATGTTAGATCTTGACAGCATTGATCTATACCCGGTTTCAAATTGACAATTCCAATGATAATAATAACAATAATTCCACGCATATGAAAACCTTAAAATTAAATATCCCAACACGTTGGCATAGTATATTAATTATGCTAGAAAGCATATTTGGATTAAATAAGAATTTAATTAATAATGTTTTGAAAAGAATTGGGAAGCACTTTCTCAAATTATCAAATTATGAATCTGATCTGGTAGAAGAACTAATAGCATCTCTTTCAAATTTAAAGTGACTGTCAAATTTCTTTCAGTACTAAAAGGGCCTACTTTAAACTTGGCGTTACTTTTTAGAAGTGAAATTGAAACACATTTAATAGTAAATGATAGTGATAGTTCTGAAATTATTTCACTTAAGGAAAATATGCTAAAAAAACTTGCGTTACGATTTCGGGTTTATAATCTGCAAGTAATATTATATAAATATATTCTTTTATTTTTATTTAAAATTATCTAGGTATTGGCTTCTCTTTTAGATCCAAGATTTTAAAAATTGACTTATAATAAAACATCTTAAACTTATAGAGAATGATGATAATCAGGTAGTAAATATAGCTAATGAGGATGAAGATGAATTATTAAATTCAAGTTATTTGACAAAATTGGCAAATAAGCATTCAACAAATATAAATTATGATTTCAAGTTAGGTGAGTTAGAACAATAATGCCACAGTTTTCTTGGAAAACGACATTCACAAGATATGGACGTTCTAAATTTTTGGAGAATTCCAGGCTCGCCAAAAAAATTCTTTGCATTCCGGCGACTAGCACACCTAGTGAAAGAGTTTTCTCTACCACTGGATTGACGTTAAATTCAAATTTCCCAAAAATTTTAATAAAATAATTTTTATACATGATAATTAAATTACGAAATCGATTTTTTGGATATAAGTTTTCTATTAAATGAATATTAAAAAATATGCCGAGATATCTGTAGAATAGTGTATATTTATTTGTTTTTTTTTAAATTAATAAGCAATTAATAATAATTTATCTTATAAAAATTTATATATGCGCCGATTTTATTGACAGCGGCTAAAATTCGGCGCGCCGCCAGCCGTTTATTAGATTTTTTAAAAATTGCGCCGGCCGCCGATATTTCGTCGGCGCACAGGTCTAGATATATTTAGGAAAACAAATACTGTTCTAAAATTTAAAATGTATTTTTATTTGGTGTTTTAGGAGTTTTACTAACCTAAATGTATTAAGCTATGCCCAAATTTTATTCTTTGTTTTTACTCCTAATGCATTGATATAACATTCTTAACTTGATTACCATTTTTTCAAGAAAAAATTAATTTTATAAGTAAAATTTCCAGATGTAAAAAATAGCTGAAAGCTTTTTTTTTTACCTCATACTATTTATTGATATTTTGAGTAATTTACTAGTAAATTTAAAAAGATTATATAGGGAATAATCAAGTTTGGATGTATAGCCCTTAATAAATATATTTAAATATTACATTGGCCAATTTTTCTTGATTAAATAGCATCTCACTTTCATGGTTGGCTAATGCTTTTTGAGCCTTTCCCAGGTTGGATTTCAATGCAAGTATGTGCTCTGGTTTACCTCCTTTGATGTAATTAAAATTTTTACCATTGAAGTTTAGATCAAAAGATGTTTCCAAATAACTTTTGTTGGTGAGATTATTGCTAACTGTACTTACGGTAACTGCTGTTTGTTCAATTTCATTCTGCAGTTTGATTGCCTGATTCTTGGCCAATTCAATTTCTCTACTTTGACTCTCTAAATGAGTTAATTTTTCCTAAAAAAAAACCAGTTTATCTATAAAATTAAAAAGCAATATCAATATTTAAATGTCAACTATTGATTAGAGTTATAAAAACCTGCAAAGGTTTCATTTCAGCATCAATTTCTATAACTTTATCAGTTGCTAGTTTAAATCTCTTTTCAGCCTTTTTAAGATTTTCTTCCAACTCATCAGCAAATTCTTTGTTTTCTTTCAGGTATTTTAATTCTGCATTGTATAATTTTATCTCATTTTTCTGCAATTTATAAAGTAAAATTAGTATCTTATATTATATTTATTAAACTAATGGCATTAATATTGAATATTCAAAATGATAAACATTTAATAATTATCTAATAAAATATAATATATAAATAAAATTATATAATTTTAAATTCATTCTATAAATTATAATATGTACCTGATTTTTTTTAATGTCATTTATTGCATTTAAGGCTTTAATATATTTGGTTGCAGCAAATATGTTATCAAATTTTTGTTTTAATTGTTTTCCCTCACTTAAAGGCCTGTTATATAAATATTCAAATTAACTTATCAATAAATATTCAATGTACCATAAAGCATCCTCTTGATGACAAAATATTACATTATTTAAAATAGACTTTGAAACTCCTAATGCACTAATCATTTCTTTATCAATTTCAGCACATCTTGAACTAATGCTAACCTTTTCACCATTATGTTTCCATCTGGTAATTACACCATCTAATGTTTGAAATTCTACTTTTTTAGCCTTTTGTGTAGTTTTCATTGATCTTTGAACAACCAATTGCTTTCCTTGCAAATCTTTTATTTGCAATCTTAACTGTCCTTTAACTTCAATTTCATGTGCTACCTACAAATAATTATATTATAAAATTAATTTTTATAAATACTTTAGGGTCATGTACAAATGCCGATCCTTTTCCATTTCCTGGAGGCATTTCCCCAGTTGTTAAATAATTTAAGCATTCAATAATAGTCTAAGTGTTAAATTTATATTTAAATATGAAATATTAGTATAACTGTTTTCCCAGTCCCGTTAGGTCCTAAAATCAATGTTAAAGGCTTAAAAAACTTAATGATTTGTCTATCTGTATCATTCGGTCCAAAGCTCCTAATTCCGTGAATACTCATCTGTTCAATAGATGACATTTTTAAAAATTTAAATTAGCAGACGATAATTTATTAATATCCTTTAGAAAGTCATGAAAATAACTAGACATCTAAATTAAAAATATGAATGACATCTAAGATCTCCTACATTTATACGATAAATATTTTATTTTTAATAATATTAATATATTAATACCTGTGCACCGCGGGCTTGCCGGCAATTCATGCCGGAAAATGCCGATTGGGATAAGCTGCTAGCTAGACTCGCTGATAAATTTTTTTTATGGTGGCTGTGCGATGTGTAATTTTTAGAATGCTATTTAATACTATTTATATATTAAATTATTATTATTATTATTTAAATTTGGAACATTAGATTGGGTGATTATGAAAATCATAATTGCTTATGTTCTCAGAAATGGAAGCCTCGTAGGTGTAGCCAGGATTTTCATAAAGGGGGGGGGGAATTAAAAAATAACTGGCGGCTTCCCCGTTTTTTCTCGGCCTTCGGCCGGGTAAAATATTTTTACAAATTTTAATAAAAAAAATAATCCTGGAACAAATATAAAATATATTTTTATTAGTTTATATAAAATAAAAATATAATAAATTACTTGTATTGTATATACCTTGATATAAAAGCATGGCAATAATTTATTCCAAACAATTATAAGTAATTTATTTATAAAAAGTAAGTAGACATATAGTTGATTTTATTCTATTATATAGAATTAGTTATAAAATACTAGGTATCCACTTTTACAGACATATTTGACAGTTAGAGAATATATTACAGTTAATAATTTAACAAATTTTACTAATCAATGCTCTTGATATTAAATATAGCAACAATTTGCATTCAATTATTTAAATCTATTTATTTTAAGTAAAAATGATATTTAAATTTAATTTTCATATTATTCATACCACAATGTCTTTAAAAGACATTTTCTGATGTCCTTATCAATATTTTATATAGTTTCTGTAAAATATATAATTCGCTATATTGGTAAAAAGTCCTTGATTGTCATTTGATAATTAGATATACTGTAAATCTACGACATATAATATTCCACTGTTTGTATTGTGCTTTAATATTTTTTTAATTTATGACTTAATTTTATCAATAGTTTTATAATTATATTTTACTTTTATTAAGATAAATAAATTAAAATTACTCACCTTATAAAAAATTATATTTGATATATTATATTATTTAGTAATTTTATGGATCTATTATTAATAATTATAATACATTTCACTTCTGTCTTAAGACTAATTTTTGGCTTATATTCCATTTATTAAAAAACATTTTTGGTTCATTTTACATATTTATAAATTTATTTTCCCAAAAATCTATAAATTATGATGAATAATTTTATAAAAAAATATCAACTTTTACATTCTTTCTTTTAAATTATTATTTAAGATATATGCATACATATTTGAGGGTCAGGAAGTGGGGGGAGGACTAAGGGGGATATTTTTTTATTAACTAAAAATGATATTTACAAAAAGTGATAAATTTCTAAAGGGGGGAGGGTTCCCCTTGCCCCCCCCCCCTAGCTACGCCTATGGGAAGCCTATATACAAATCAATAAATCTGATTGCTCAGATATTATTTACCTAAAAGAAAATATGCAAAAATGTAGATTTTAAATTACTGAACTTCAAGTAATTTGTTTAAAAATATTTTTTTATTAAAATTATATTTTAAACATTCGATATTAGTGACACTACTTGATCAGATTTTAAAATCTTAAAATTGTTTTAGAACATTTAAATTCTAATTCTACATTATTGCAATTTAATTAAACATTAAAAATTTTAGAGCATTTCCCAGGCTTGCTAATTTAGTTAGGAAAGTTCTTTGTATATCTGCAACCAGTAGACCCAGCAGAAGAATTTTTTACATCCCTGGATTAATACTCAATGCAAAAGGACTTATTTATGGCTCACGAATCTTGATAAAATACTATTTATTCATTAAAATTATAATTTTATTAAATCTTATTTCTAATTTATTGTTTTTCCCTACTTTATATTTTGTTGCATTCTAAATTTTTTAAATAAAAATATAATATTATTTAATATGACTCTGATCTGAGTAAAAATGAAATTCCTTGCTCTTTTTCTGATAATGAGAAAATACATAAATTTCGGAATGAGACAGGAAATAATTTAAAAAATGAATTGAAATCTATTAACAATGTGGTAGAGAACTAAGAGCGCCTAAATAAATTATAAAAAAAAATTTAATACATTAAATTATAAATTAAATTAATAATAAATAAATACAGCGCCACGTTAGGTACCTCGATGGTGTGTAGATGTGGACCGCGTTAAAGACCGACGGCATCAATTAAGGCTTCGGTGCTCAGATCTAATTATTGATTGTTTTTTAAATATAGCCTATGCGGCTAGGTCAAACGTTTGGTTCGACTGGTGATCCATCCAGGATTTTATTTCGAACTCGGTTGAAAATATCTGAGGGCTTTACCTCTGACATTCATTGTTTGCTGATCCTACCTTTAACCACTAATAGTTATCATATAAATCGATATTCCATTTTTGGGCTACACTAAATTAAGTCTTTTATTTTCTACTAATTGGTTAGACTTATAAACAAATTGCCATCACTTATAATTGGTTAAATAGCCTAACTTCCAATTATTCAATTAATATTCAATATTATCTTGCCTATTGTTGAGGAGTGTATAATAACGATAAGATCCTAAATCAGGTTTGTGTATTTGACAGGCCAAATATGGTCAAATACGGTCTATGACCAAATTCAAATGTTTTTTAAGGTAATATTAACTTTATTTAAAAAAATCTATAATATTAATTTTAAAATATTTATTAAATTTATTATCATTCAATATAATTAATGTTTCGTCTCGATAGCAGAGTCTGGTACTGATTCATATTCATATCATTTTTTTATTTCCTGTTGTCAAGATGTTTAATCGGTTTATGTTTTAAAAATATCAACCCAAATCGACCAATTTATTTCTAAAGATGAAGTAGCATAGGCGTAGCCAGGGGGGGGCAAGGGGGAATTTCCCCCCTTCAGAAATTTATCACTTTTTGTAAATATCATTTTTAGCTAATAAAAAATATCCACCTTAGTCCCCCCCACTCCCTGACCCTCAAATATGTATGCATATATCTTAAATAATAATTTAAAAGAAAGAATGTAAAAGTTGATATTTTTTTTATAAAACTATTCATCATAATTTATAGATTTTTGGGAAAATAAATTTATAAATATATAAAATGAATTAAAAATGTTTTTTAATAAATGGAATATAAGCCAAAGATAAGTCTTAACTCTTAAGACAGAAGTGAAATGTATTATAAATATTAATAATAGATCCATAAAATTACTAAATAATATAATATATCAAATATATTTTTTTATAAAGTGAGTAATTTTAATTTATTTATCTTAATAAAAGTAAAATATAATTATAAAACTATTGAGAAAATTAAATCATAAATTAAAAAAATATTAAAGCACAATACAAACAGTAGAATATTATATGTCGTAGATTTACAGTATATTATCAAATGACAATCAAGTAATTTTTACCAATATAGCGAATTTTATATTTTACAGAAAACTATAAAATATTGATAAGGACATCAGAAAATATCTTAAGACATTGTGGGATGAATAATATGAAGATTTAATTTAAATATCATTTTTACTTAAAATAAATAGATGGCGTTAAATAATTAAATGCAAATTGTTGCTATATTTAATATCAAGAGCATTGATTAGTAAAATTTGTTAAATTATTAACTGTAATATATTCTCTAACTGTCAAATATGTCTGTAAAAGTGGAATTTTACCTAATATTTTATCACTAATTCTATATAATAGAGTAAAATCAACTATATGTCTACTTACTTTTTATAAATAAATTTCTTATAATTGTTTGGAATAAATTATTACCATGCTTTTATATTAAGGTATATACAATACAAGTAATCTATTATATTTTTATTTTATATAAACTAATAAAAGTATATTTCGTATTTGTTCCAGGCCTATTTTTTTTATTAAAATTTGTAAAAATATTTTATGACCATATATAGATTAAAGTAACCCGGCCGAAGGCCGTGGAAAAGAGGGCCAAAGGCCCGCCCAAAAGGGAGTCTAGGGGCGAAGCCCCCAGTAATTTTTTTATTTCCCCCCCCCCTTATGAAAATCCTGGCTACGCCTACTTAGTAGAACTAGGAATTGTTAGCAAAATCCCATTTCTCTTATGGGTACGGTGAACAAATTCAATTTACTGCAGAAATCTGATTGTTTCTTATGGAAATTACTGTTTTCCACATAATTTTCTATTAAATATGTGGCCTATACTTCTGAAATTTATGTTATCGCTAGAAATATTTTGATCATTACCACCTTGCTAAATGACTAATTCTGTATTATATCATATACGTCATTAAATGCACTACTAATAGGTTGCCCCTCTTGATTTTTGAGACCCAATAAATAAGCACAATTGTGATCACAATAACTTTTTTTCTTTTTTTCTAACATATTTTTAATTTTTTTTTCTTTAGATTTTTTAGAGTATTTGATCCTATTTAACCAGGTCAAATAATCCTCCGGTCAATTGACTGACTTGCTAACCCTATCCTAAACAGACATACTTAAATAAATGAGATATGAACCTACCTTTTGTTGGATAGTTAGAAAATTTGATAGGATTTGGGAATAGATTCATCTTTATAAATGTTTAAATCACATTCTGATATAAGATTTTATGTTGAATCATTTTTTTTATCTTCAAATATATTTAGTATATTTTTTATATCCATTTATATATCACTAAGATTAAATCACGTTTTTGTATAAATTTATTTATAACCATATAATAATATATACCTGATTAATCAAGAAAAATCTTCACTATATATATATATAATGAATATATTCAGAAAAAATGTAATCTTTTCTTTTAACTAAGTCAAGTGTCTTAAGATCAGAATCTGTGATTAAGGCTGATAATTGTATCTGTTGACAAGAGGGGAAAAGTCTTGTCAATAAGAATATTAGATGTCGGTCTTGAGAGAATTAATATTTTAGAATAACGTCTTTTATTCAATATTTTTATAAATAGAATATTAGATGTCGGTTTTGAGAGAATTTATATTTTAGAATAACGCCTTTTATTCAATATTTTTAAATTGATAAAATTAACTGATAGTTTTTATCATATAATCTCTTTTTATATCCAAGGTCAATCAATCATGTAAAAATGTATACGTTATCCAATTTACAAAATATAATATATCAAACGATCGCCTTTAACCTTATCTAAAATGAGAAAGTATATTAATACAAAACGAATATATCGTTAAAAAGAATATATAGTTACTAACATGTAACACTATCAATTATCCTTATAATTCTTGCTCTATTATTTAGAATTATTTTATATCTTGAACTTAATTCCCTAGCTATTAAAAATGTGTCGCCTTTTGAAATCGATCTTAGGATCCTTGACAACAAATATAAAAATTGAATTCATATTCTTGATATATTTTAAAATATATTGTCTATAACTATAAATTTGGGACTGTTTTAATCCATTACCAGGCGCACAGCCAGTAATTATCTACAGGGGGGTGGCGGGATAATTTTTCTAATATTGAAAGGAAAGGAAAGCGCTTCGGGCAGGGTTTGCAAACAAATGGGCTTATTAAAAGTTTCATATTTTTATATTGCTATAAAACTCATGTAGAAATATATTTTTTATTGAATCAAGTTTAAAATTTCGGCAAATATCTACTTATTTCACAGTTTAATAGCTCATAAAATAAGTGAGCCTCATTATAAGTTTAATACTTTTATTTGTTAAAAAATCATGTAAGAATATAACTTTTATTGAATCAAATTTAAAATTATTGCAAATATATAGTTATTGCATTAATACAAATAAATCATATATAGATTTGATAAAAATGATATTAATTGATAAATTATAATCGCTTCGATATTTTTAAGTTATCTTGATATGTACTTATATATATATATAAGAGTATCCAGTTTTTCTTAAGGAAGGAAAACACTATTAGGTGGGAGTTTTCGCCATAAATCTTATTGAAGGTCTTTAGGAATTAATTGTAGGCCTTGGCTATATTATATTTTAATAAAAATAAATTTGAGGTTTCACTTATTTTTTTATAAAAATGATTTTATTTTCTATATATTTTGAATTATAGTCGTTATTTTAAAAAGTTAACTTTTACAAAATTATTTCCAATTCTTATTTATAAAGATATATTGCATACATTTTTGAAGAGAGGGGATATGTAGGGTTAACCTTTTTATTAACTTAAAATGATGTTCACGAATAGGCAAATTTATTATTTGGGGATTTGGTTATGCGCCTGATATTATATCTCCATCAAGCAAAATGTTTTGGTTAATATTTTTTTGAAAGAAATTGACATTTTTTTTATGGGGGTCCATTAAATTTTCAAAAATTTTTGGGGAACTCCCATGCCACCTGGGTTGCGGGCCATTGTGTTACACAACTGCCTGCAGATCTCTGATAATATATATTATATGATTGCGTGTAATAATATTTTAAATTATAAAATACAATAAATATATAGTTTCTAGAATTGCCACAATGTTTATTTAACTTCTTAAATTTAAAATATCAATTAATAAAAAGAAATTTAATGTAAAAAGCGCTTTATATTTTTATTAAAATAAAACCCCCTTCAGCAACTCATCATAAATATATTCTTGATTTTCCACTAGCATAATTAGTCAAAAAGCTACTGCAAATTTCTGCATTTCCCTCATTTGAGATTAATTCACATGTTCCAAAGCATCGCAAATCAGTCGATAGCAAGAAAATTAGGATTTCGTGGGAAAAGGAAAAAAAAACGTCCTCAGAAATGGAGGAACTCAAAAGGGAGGTGGAAATGGTAAAAAAAATAAATTTAACATATATTTTTTTTAAAAATTTGATACGAAAAGGTTGAATTTTCAACTAAGAAAAGGAGAGAAGGAAAAATGTGGAGAAAATAAAAAAAAAAGGGGAAAGAGAAATAAAAATAAAATATAGGGTTAAAAAAAATTGAATATTGAAGATAACTAAATATAAAAGATTAAAATAAGAAAATGGATTAGCAAAAAAAATGTAAAGAAAAGAGAAAAAAATGAAAGGAGAAAACTATATTGATTGCATAGCTTGGCAAAGTTTGATATCATTTTATAAGAAACAGTTTTTCTGATTAATTAAACTCAATTCATTTAAAAACTATAAATATTTTTAACAGGAAGTATGGACATTTCTGTCATTCTATATCTAATTGACGATTTTTATTTTTAGGACGAACATATAATCCCGCTCAACGAATTGTATAAACTCCTAGGAACCGATCCTATAATGGTAATTTATAAATATATGATTCAAATCTTCTATTTTATTATCACATCTCATTTTAATCCACTAACTATCCCCTAATTACCTAATTAGATTAAGAATAAAAACTGTTGGATACCAAATAATTTTTACCCTAAAAACCGAACTGATTTGTTTCGAAGATCTTAATGGAGAAAATTTTTCTTAAATATATATGTACCCCATGTCTAATTATATATGTGTTTGCGTATCTGCAGGGTCTGAGTTCAGAAATCGCTGAATACATATTGGCTAGAGATGGACCAAACTGTTTAACACCACCAGCCGAAACCCCAGAATGGGTAAAATTTGTCAAGCAACTATTCGGAGGGTTCAATGCACTTTTGTGGATCGGTGCCGTTCTTTGCTTCCTGGCATATTGGATACACTCGGTTACGTATAGGGATGTCCCTAAGGATAATGTTTAAATATTTTTTTATCCAATTAAAACTCATCTTTATTTTATTTTTATCACACCTAAACAAACTCGTTACCAGTTATATTTGGGAATTACACTAATGAGCGTTGTCATAATTACTGGCATGTTTTCTTATTATCAAGAGGCGAAAAGTTCTAGCATTATAGAATCCTTCTCCAAATTGATTCCGCAGGTATGAATCTCGTTTATTGTTTATTTTTTTAAAATTTAATCAAAATTATATCAGGATAATTATTGAAGGTATGACATGACCTATTAAAAAATAAATACAAATAAAATAATAAATTAAATTATTCATATTTGCTTCTTTTGGAATGATTCAAATAGTTTACTATCTGTTCTCGTACGAATAATAAAATATACTATTTTTATTTGACTGTTATAATTATGAATAGCAAATCATTAAACTCGTTCAAAAGAATCTAATACAAATAATTTAATTCAGTTCATACTTTAAAAAAAATAAGTCTACCTTTATATAATATTTATATTATGTGTTCCTACAACGCATGGTTGGGGACGACAATACGAGAATTTAAATATTCATTGGATATTTTAATTTTTTAAAAAATTATGCCCGATAAATGATTGTTTATTTCGTAATTTATATGTGATCAGAATTGGGTGAAAATTAAAACACAGGGAATCGGGTTTTGGGGAACTGATGTGGAGAAAGAGTTTGAAAATTCTGAAAGTTAGAATCACTTATAATCTTTGATCAGAGCATGCGCGTCGTTGGCTATGTGGTTTGAGAGTCCTTCATATTTTTTAAAGATATGGATGTCAGGTACGTCCTCCGTAGCCTATAATCTATAATCGGTGCCTTTTCTCTATGTCCTTTCTTCCTTTCTTCCTTCCTTCCTTATGAGCCATACCAAAGTCTACAGGGATTTAGAAAAGACCTCATAAGAATTATTTTTATTTTTAGTGGAGTAAAGTATAAAAGCAATTGAAGTTGCTAATCAGATTTCTACAATTTGTCCTTCAACGAGAGAAATAAATAAATATTCCCTTCAACCTCACAATAATAATTTTTTCTCGGTTAGCCATTACCCTACACTTTGATGCGAAAGGTTTGACCCTCCTTCGTTCTTTAGACTTAAAAATAAGCTCTTTAGAGGAAATCCCTTCGAGTTTTATCACTCGAAACAAAGAGTCCAAATTGTAATTCTCAAAGGTTCATCTATCAATCTAATATATTTCCTCTTTTTTTTATATTATGATTTCATTTTTAATACTTTATTCGTTATTTATTTTTTTGTTATAAAATGTTTCATATAGTTTATAATATTCCTAATTTGTATATTTTTACTCCTAAGTAGAGATCTGCAAAGTTAGGCCCGGCCCGTACCCGGCCCGAGAAGCCCGAACAGGCTTTGGGCTGGGCTCGGGCCTAATTTTATTTAAAATAATCGGGTTCGGGCCGGTGGAATTTTTTTTAAATATATCTAAATTTATCAATTTTATATTGAATTTTTTATGTAAAATTAAAATATTTGATTTTATTAATTGAAACTAAACGACATATAACATATGTCTTTTATTTTGAGTAATTATAAAAATTAATTTCTATATTTAAATAAATTCGGGCCGGGCCGGCAATATAAAAAAATTTCGGGCCGGGCTTGAAAAATTAGGCCCGATGCAGACCACTACTCCTAAGAGTGTATCCAAAGTCAAAATTTTATTTAAATAAAAAGTATTTTTGAAATTTACGAAATCGAGTTGAATAATAAAAATTTTAACTTGTTAAATTTCTTTTAAAAATATTATTGAAAAATATACCGAGTTTATCTAAAATAAAATTAATAGCATACAATGGTGTGGAGAGACGGTAATAAGATGGAACTTAATGTTGAAGAGTTGGTAGTTGGGGACATAGTCGATGTACATTTTGGTGATAGAATACCAGCGGATATACGCATTATAAAATGTCATGGATTTAAGGTTATATAAATTATTAATTTATATGTAATATTTAATATACAATTAATAAGGTGGATAATTCATCATTAACCGGTGAGAGCGAGCCTCAACCTCGTTCACACGAGAATACCAGTGAAAATCCGTTGGAAACAAAAAATCTAGTATTTTTCTCAACCAACGCGGTGGAAGGTTAGTTTATATTTATACCTAATTAAAAATGTGTCCTGCCTAATTCTGCATGTATATATATTCCTTTTCTAGCTTAGGGTTGTACGCCTATGTCTAAAGTATATCATTCTAGGCTTACTTATATATTGAAAAAGTTACATTGACCCACAAAAATAAAATTAAAATTAAAAAAAACTCGTTCCCTTCCCGTTCCTCCAAAATTAGTTCAAGCCAATGATACCCAAAATTAATCGCTGATACCTAAAATATGATCTTATCACAATCTCAAATAAATTTTTCTGACAATTTTATCCATAGAATAAAATTAATTTACACTATTATGCTCACAGGAACGTTAATTGGCGTTGTAATACACACTGGCGATAGAACCATAATGGGGAGAATAGCAAATCTAGCTGCAGGTCTTGAAGCAGGGCAAACCCCGATCAATAAAGAAATTCAACATTTTATTCATATTATAACAGTAGTAGCCGTATTTTTGGGATTCACATTTCTTGTAATCTCGATCCTAATGAATCACAACTGGCTAGACGGGATTATATTTCTGATTGGCATCATAGTGGCTAATGTGCCTGAAGGCTTGCCTGCTACAATCACGGTAAATAAATTCTCCTTCACTTTCAAATTTTTAAATAATTTTAATATTCACTTTTTTTAAAATAGTCTTCATATTTTTTGGCTCTATTTATGGAATCTTGTATAGGATCCAATATTCTCTAACATTTTACTATAATCTATTCTATCTAAAATAAGATTTGAATTTCTAAAGAAAATTCCAATATTATTATGGATCTCCTTTTCCCTTTAGTATCTAAACGTTCAGATGCAATTCATTCCTCTAATAATTATCTGAGTCTAACCATAACAAGCTTTAGGCTTCTTTCGTATAGCAGGAGTATCGAGATTTAAAAAATGATGGGTTGTTTTGGAATTGAACACTTAACGTCAGTGGGTGGCTTTAATAATACTAGTGAGATAAAGAACCGTTAATAATTAATTAAATTTATCTTCTTCTTTGTTGGATACAAATAAATAAGTTACTCAGATAAGACCAAATATAATGCTAATTATAATATAGCACAGTTTATTAGATGGCCCTTTTTCTCTAAGTAATTATGTGTTATATTTTTATATTAACTCTCAGGTATGCCTAACTTTAACCGCTAAACGCATGGCCTCTAAAAATTGTTTAGTCAAAAATCTTGAGGCCGTTGAAACTTTAGGCTCCACGTCTACCATATGCTCGGATAAAACGGGCACTTTGACCCAAAATAAGATGACTGTGGCACATATGTGGTATGATGACAAAGTTTGGGAAGTCGAAACCTCCGAAAACCAAGGAGGTAAATTTTTAAAAACCTTCTAATAGCCCCTACTTATTTGGCGTTTGTGTTGTTTTTGTTATACAAATATTTTTCGCTAAAATTAAATTATACTGTTATATTTATTTATGAAGTAATATTTAAAATGTATTAAATACTAAAAAGTGGTAAAGAATCGAAACAAAAATGAAACGTGGGAGGCTCTGGTACGAATAGCAGGCTTGTGTAACAGGGCGTACTTCAAATCTTACCAGGATAATGTACCTATTATGAAAAGGTCAGTTAGGCTTGGAAGATACATCTCATTTATACAGAAGGTTCTTTGGGAATCAACGTTCAATTATTTCTTTAAAAAATTTTTAAATAACATAAATTTTACAAATATATGTATTAATTTAGGGAATTCATAGGGGATGCATCTGAATCGGCTTTGCTAAAGTGTGTAGAGTTGACGTATGGGAACGTAGAACAACTAAGGATGCTTTATAGAAAGATTGCGGAAATTCCTTTCAATTCTAACAACAAATACCAAGTAGAATTTTATAATTATTTTAGGCATGATTTAAAATTTATTGGTAATTTATTTGTTGATTTTTTTTTTGTCATAAATATTCTTCCCATTTATTCTTTTATCATACATATAGTTTATTAATTCACTAATTATTAAAGGTTTCTATTCACGAATCTCCTAAACTTCTCAGACATTTACTAGTCATGAAAGGAGCCCCGGAGTGTATTTTGGAGAGATGCACTACAATATTGATTGATGGTAAGGAAGAGCTATTAACGGACAAAATAAGAGAAGACTACAATAAGGCCTACATGGAGTTGGGTGGAAGGGGTGAAAGAGTGCTGGGATTTTGTGATTTTTGGTTGCCCCTTGAAAAATTTCCTAAAGGCTTTGTTTTCAACACGGAAGATGTAAATTTTCCTCTTGAAGGCTTCAGATTCGTAGGTCTCATGGCTATGATAGACCCTCCCCGGGAGGCAGTCCCTGATGCCGTAGCTAAATGTCGTGGCGCTGGAATCAGGGTAAATATACATCTTGATGGAATGGATGAAACATTAACATTCGATTCGCTAATTTATCATCTAATTAATTATAATAGCTATATTAAAATTTAATTACAACAATTAATTCCCTAATAATATATCAAATATCAATGTATATTAAATTTTCATTATCGGTAGAAAGAATATGATTTATTATTAAATCTTATTTAAATAATATGTTAAGTTTGCAGAATTAGGGTAACATGGAGATTTGCATTTTTGTCAAGATCATATTATTGCGCTTCTAAATAGTTTTAGATAAATAATGTAGGATAATTTTATCAACATCAGATAATAGTGTATAAATTTTTATAGCTTAGGATTATTAACATATAGGAGGAATTCATCTAAGAACATTGTTTAAAGTAGTTAAAATAACGATAATATATATTTATGTAATTGTTATTTCTCTAAAGGTTATAATGGTGACGGGGGATCATCCAATAACAGCCAAAGCTATTGCTAAGCAAGTTGGCATAATATCGAATACCAGTGAGACTATTGAAGATATATCCGCTCGGTTGAAAATTTCAATCGATAAAATTAATCCCCGGTTAGTCTATATTCTTTGACGAAATCTTGATATCTAATAAATTTCCAAATGTGTTTTTTTTCTCCCTCCTTTCTCCCCTAATTAAATAATTAGAAGAACCATTTTATTTTATATATTTTTCACAGCGACGCAAAGGCGTGCGTGGTTCATGGCAGCGACCTTAAAAAAATGAGCCCAAAAAATTTGGACGACGTTTTGAGATGGCATACCGAGCTGGTTTTTGCCCGCACGTCCCCCCAACAAAAACTCTTGATAGTGGAAGGGTGTCAGAGACAAGGAGCTATAGTAGCTGTAACTGGAGACGGGGTCAACGATTCTCCGGCTCTCAAGAAGGCGGATATTGGTATTTCCCAAAATATATACTTCTCTTAAGTTATTTTTTATTCACTTTGTTATGGATTCTAGGGAAATTGATAGTGGCAGGTTTCTAAAGAATAATATTTTTAAAAGGATATTTTTCCATATTTTATCATAATAAAAGATAATTTGAATTTATCTATGATAAGGACAACCCAATCGTAGAAATTTTTTTTTTTTACTTAACGTCATAAAATGAATTTTTTAATATAGTTTTATAATTTAAAAATCCTAAAAATGAATAAAAATAGACTTAAACGAAAATTTTTAAAATAGGCCAGGTTTGGGCCAAAAAAATTGATAACAGGATTTATAATATACTATCGTTAAAGCTGTATATTATTGATATTGCTACACGAAAATCATATGGCAAGTATAAAAGATATTTTTTGTTGCCAAATGGTAAAATATCATTAATATTAAAAATGTGCCAACTATATTTGGCTATATCATAGGCCTAACAAAGATTTTCCTACGTGGGTAGTGAATAGGGTGGGGGTGGGAGGATTAGAGTAAATTTGGGTTTACTCACATTCTTTTCTATGAAAAATTTTAATTATAAGTTCTTATTTTGTAAAAAATTGCTAACTTATGCTTATTTTTCTTTTAATTATTATTTATAAGGACATGTTGTAATCATTTTTTGCGGAAGAAAGGATTGTGGGGTAATGTTATTAAACGTCTCAATTTTTTAAAACGGCTAACCCAATGAGAAACTCTTCAAATTTTATAAAGGCCAAAGGTGTAATGCGCACGCCCATTTTCTATGCCTGGGGAACCATATATCGAGTGGTTCAAAATAATTTTATACCCCTAAAAGGCTTAGTTTATTTTTTTAATGAAATTTCGTATATATTATTTTAAAAAAACATATGATAATTTACTCAATTTTTTTTTTAGAATTTGATTATTTTAAAAAATTGAGATGAATAGGTTTCCATTATGTTGGACTATAGCTGGGCGATCCTTTTTATTTAGAAATTTTTCTCCTATTATATATTATTAACAAAAATTTAGGTTACCAAGCAAATAAGATTATTATTTATAATTAACATCCAAAAAAAATCAAGCGATTATTTTGTAAATCAAATTTATTAAAAGAAGATTTTGAGAAGAGAAGAATTGGAATGCACAAAATTTGATTCCCGAATTTCTCTAGGAATTATTGTGTTCAAGGCTTTAAAGCTAAATAAGTGATTCATATCCCGTAAACATGGGCCCCGATTTAAATCTATCGTAATCATATGCGGTAAAGGTTAAGTTTATAAAAATAGGCTACAACCTTGAAGATATGTAGACACTCGATAGAAAAATTGAAGTAAGGAATATAATTTTTGCAAGAAAAAAAATTACATCAACATTGAGGAGATCGTTGGACATATCCATCACGCTATTATTTTGATACCTCTTAAATTCATTTAAATAAGACGTCAGTCATATTCTGTCAAATTTTAGTATTTCTTATCTCAAAAAAAATATGAGGGAAAGTTACATATATTCTTTATTTAAATAGGAGATTATATAAAAAATAAAAAAATTATGAAATTAAAAACGCGGCCATTTTTATGAGCCATCTTTATACATTTTTTTTACAATTTATATAAATAATCAGGAGTTGCTATGGGAATAGCCGGAAGCGATGTTAGTAAGCAAGCAGCTGATATGATTTTGCTAGATGACAATTTTGCCTCGATCGTTACTGGAGTAGAAGAAGGTATATATATTTTTTTTCATTTAGTTATACAACTCATGATTGTTAATGATTGGTTTTGGCAGAGGTATAAGAAAATCTTGAAAATATAGCATTTTAAGGTAAAATTTGATCAAAAATTTTTTTCGTCAAAAAGAACCTTCAGAAATATATGCTCAAATATAATATCTTCTTCAAATTCGGGTTCTGAGTAAAGAAACCTATATTTAGCAATTTAAAGTTAAAAAAAATTTTTTCATAAAATTAATTGTACATTCACCTTCATATTTAATCCAAAATTTCCAACCTGAGTAAGAAAAACAAATAGGAAACCGTTTTGAAAAACTTCCAAATTTTAGATAAATTTAATAAGACGCCCAGGTAATATTAATAGTCCTTAATTCGAATAGAGTTTTAGTGTCAAAATTTTATTCACTATTTTTTTTTCAGGCCGTTTGATATTTGATAATCTCAAGAAGTCCATAGCTTACACGCTGACGAGTAAAATTCCAGAGATGAGTCCTTTCTTGTTATACATACTTTTAAACATACCTCTGGCCTTAGGCACAGTGACTATTTTATGCATAGATCTCGGAACTGATATGGTATTTATTTATATACGTATAATAAAACATTCTTTACCGCTTCAACTATAATCAAATGAGATTTAAATAAACTGTAATTCTTTGAAATTTTATCATTCGTAAATTTAAAGAATTTGCGTTTTGTGTATTGAACTTTATATTTGCCATCTTACACGTGGTTGTCGGTAAAAAGAACTATTTTTACCTAACTCTAAAAAGTGCCCACAGTATAAAAGGTAGAAAGTCAGAGTTTAATTTATTTAGCATTAATAATGGGGCTATCCAATGATACAATTAGGTTTTTTTTTCGCAAAAGAGCAGAAATACCTCCCATAGCCCCGGTCTCCCTAATTAGATACAAACTATATACTCACCTACTTATTTAAATTAATAGGTACCTGCCATTTCTCTGGCGTACGAAAAAGGCGAGAGTGATATCATGAAAAGGAAACCGCGCAATCCGAAATATGACCAATTAGTTAACGAAAGGTCCGAAATCGAAATAGCAAATACAATATTGTTTATATTAAATGTTTATTCGTTTGGGTTTTGCCGATTTTGTGATGTATAAACTTTTATCAGCACTAAAAGTTTAAAAATTAAAATCGATCATAGCAAAATTTAAATAAATTATATTACAAGCACTTTTACCATATATTCATAGCTAATTAATTTTGTTCAAAAGTCCTATATTTTTTTACCGAGATTTAAAATTATGGTTCAATTAAATTGATGCAATTAAGAAAATATGATAGCTTTAAAAAAATATAGATTATAAAGAAAATATAACGTCTATTAGATTTTAATATGGGGAGAAATATGGGTGCTTGACTTTCTTTTTATAATAGATTATAATTGTAATTATACTTTTCAATTACTATTTCCTATTTTTTTATGATAATACAGCATATTTGCTGTTAAGATATTTTTTTGCTTGTATTGCCAGTGCCACATGATTATAATATATTGTTTAAAAAAAATTTCATTTTCGATATTCTTATATCCTAGGCGGTGAGTGCGTATATTACTTGCCCTATAGATCTGGATTAGAATCCTGCTAAGGTTGAGTTTTTATTGAAGCTAATTTAATAAATTTGAGCTACGATCTATGCTATGTAGTAGATAGGAAGCAAGCGACCTCATGATTCCACTGTTAATAAATATTAAAATGGATATCATTGTATTTTAGTAAACTTAGGCCGTTGTTTAGCAAATTGCTATAACTTTATCCATTTTTTTTTGTCTTACCATTTCTTTTAAAAATAATTTCTTTAATAATCTTCCATATTTCTTTTATTTCAGATTAATAAGTGTGGCCTACGGCCAAGTAGGTATGATTCAAGCTTTAGCAGGTTTTTTCACGTATTTTGTTATCATGGCCGAAAACGGATTTTTACCCAGTAGACTCCTAGGTATCCGAGTTGCTTGGGATTCGGCAGGACTCAATAATTTATCAGATTCTTATGGCCAGGAATGGGTAATAACTGCTATTTTAATATGGTGATCTTGACTTGCTTAAATTTAGATCCGACGATCTAAGTACCTCATTAATTTGAGAGATTTTGATCGAAATATTTAAATTTAAAAAAAAAAAAATTAAATATGAATAATTTAAAGGATTTCTTTTAAATATTCGTTTTCTGATTATTTTTAATAATTTATACAAAAAATGTTGTTTAAAATGAATTTATTACTCAGTGTTATATATCCAGATTGAGGCCCAGAAGATTACTGGTTTAATTTCCTACGGAATATATTTATTTTCTAAAATAAACTATTGGATTAGATCAAAGATTTATAGACCTCACCTAATCCAATGAACATGTTACTTCTTCCCTCTCGAATTTTTAAATACTCTAGCCTCCCCCACCTGTTCGCTTTTAAAATTTTACCCCTATCCCATATAAATTCACCCATCCCCCTCATGCCGATACATCCACCTACTAAATCGAAATTAGCAAAATATGGAAATAAAAACTAGGCCCCTCCAATGTTATTCAAATGGCGCCTCATAACCCCCTACATCTCTTCAATAACGATCTTGCGTTATACCCCTCTCTCCATTGGTAGAAATCTCTGCATGAGGCTAGGGTATGGTTTAAAGGGTTTACACGGGTTAGGGGTAATCTAAATTTAAAAAATCCTTTATTAAAATTAAATTTTTTTTTCAATTTAATAATGATTATGACTATTGGAAAATAATTCTATTGGTATTTATTTTGTTAAGCGATACATTTTACTCACATAAATAATTTTTTATTTATTTTTAACATCTAGTAGAAGTTACCTTATAGACATGGAATATTGAAGGTAGGCAATGTTTTACCATGGTCAATCTATGATTAGATTTTTAATTTTTATATAAATGTTTATCTCTGGAATTTTCTTTTCATATAAGGGAAAGTGGTGTTATATTTTTAAAAAAATCTTAATTTTTATGGATCGTATTACAGACTTATGCGAACAGAAAAATCTTGGAACACACGTGTCATTCAGCTTTTTTTGTATCCACAGTTATTGTGCAATGGGCCGATGTGATCATTTGTAAAACTCGGATGAATTCGTTAATTCAACAAGGAATGACGTAAGAACAGCAAGGACGTGTCCGTTCGTCTTATTTTTAAATCTTATAGGCTAAACAGATTTTGAACTAGATCATCTTCGTTTCATTAAAAAAATATTTTGGTTTGAAAAGAGTTACGCAAATCTATATAGACTCCTTTTTTTAGGCTGTTTAGAGGAAGCTATAAAGAGAGAGAGCTAAACAGACAACTCTTTAGAAATAAGACGAACTAGGACATGGCCTGATATCTTTATTTTTAATATTTTATAAAACATTAGTACAATTTTTATTGTATTATAAAAATATATAATATAATCATATCCATTTAGAAATTGGGTGCTGAATTTTGCTCTAGTATTTGAGACGGCGGTTGCCGCTTTTTTGTGCTACATGCCTGGTATGGACATAGGGCTCAGGATGTACCCTCTCAAGTAACATAACTTTAGAAATTGAATTGAGATTTAGCTTAAATTTAAATGAAAAATGTAACATTTAATTTTTATTTTCCTAACTAGATCATAAAATTAATAAAAAGAGTCCTGGGTAGGGTAGGGTAGGGGGCAAGAGATTCTAACCATCTATAGTAGGGCCAAGGAAACCGGTCCTATATTGAACTTGGCCGGACAGGCTAGGATCTAATCATAGAAATTGGGCACAAGAACCTATTTAAATATCGTTTTTCAAAAAAAATTTAAACATGCATTAAGCTAGTATTGCATTACCTGGTTAGTTATTACGTGCCTATCAATATTTTTTGAAATATCCGCCTTTTATATTATATCTTTGTAGTGCAAGATACTTCCTGATAATTATATTTTTTGGAATACATAAAATATACTATATTAGAGTCCTGCACGAGTTCGGTCGGGCACTGAACTCTTCGTAAAATTTTTGGTCATGATCTCGGGGTATAAAAAAGTATATATTTTTTAGACCGACTCAGACCCCAAGAATAATTCAGATGCGCTGTTCTCTATTTTCCTGGAATCATAGAGAAATCTGATGGCACGTATTAACAGCTGATCGAATTTAATTTTTATTTATTGAGATCAATTTTTCCTTAATAATATAAATAATTCTTCTCTCATTATTATCATATTTTGATTTAAAGATAATATAAATTTATCTTATCAAAAGATTTAAAAAATCGATCACCTTCTAAATTATATTGTATCGCATTCCACGAGGATTTTAGCCTTAGTTAAATCTATGCGATAATTACAAAAAACATTCTATTACTTATATTAATTAATCCACAAAAATTAGATTTTTTTGGTGGCTACCTCCTCTTCCCTTTTTTGCGTTGATATTTATATACGATGAAGCCAGAAGATATATAATTAGAAATGAGAGAGGTGGATGGCTTGAAAGGGAAACTTATTATTGACTACGATTGAAGGAACAAATTTATTTAAATTGTAATATCAAAAAACTATTTTATTATATTAAAAAAATTATTTACTATTAATATGTATGCAAAAAAATTGTTTGAAATATAAATTGTTATTAAATACATGATTATTTTATGATTCAATAAAATGTTAATATATTATATTTTTTGATATTACACATATAGTAAATAAAATAAGATATTAGTAATTTATGTAATACTAAATATAAAAATAAAATCATAAATTCAATATTAATTAATGAATAAAATTTAGATATAAATTGTAAGTAATTAGGGGGTATCAGTCATTGAGAATATGAAGCTGAGGTAATTGGATTTTATTATATTGAGGGCTAATCTTTGGCGTAGGTAGTAACCCTCGTTGGGATCTTCGGTTAGTAGAGATCCGTTTCCCCAGCTCTTTAAAGAAGGCAAGGGCGTGAGAGCCGAACGATGTTAGAGTCGTGGCGATTAGTGGTAGGAATGTGTAATTGGCCGGAAGCGTTGGCGAATATTTAGCGAGTTTATTCGTCTCGGCGTCTACTAGAGCATCTCTATTTATATTGGAAGGGGCAAGGGGATCGATGCATGAGAAATCCCAGGTTAGAAATTCCTCCCTCTTCCAAGGGATCATGGTAGAGCCATCGGGACGCTTACCATCAGAATTGTAGAGTCCAGTGGGTTCTAGGGTTGATGGGATACCGGCAGATTTTAGGGCCCTGGCAATAGTATCATTGCATTTTGAATGTCTAATGAATCTGCCTCTACAGCGCTTGCAGTGTAAAGAGTGACGGCCTTTGGAGTTGACCGGCGTTTGACAAAGGATGCAGTGATAGGGTATTACCATATCACAATTAAGTCTTAGACCGATGGCGTGACGTAGCTCATCATTGCTTAGGAGCTGGTCAAGGTTTCGCGATGGAAAAGCTTTGAGAAATTCATACCCGCTGTCTGCGGAAATGGAGAAGAGTAGAGAATGGTCCTCGGGTTGGCTCCTCGATTTAAGGTATGCAACGGAGTTGCCAACTAGAGGCTTATCCCAGTCCTTCTGCAGTGTCGATGAGGGAGGATCGACTAATGAAAGAGATTTCCATAGATCAATTGCCTGGGGAAGTAAAGGGTCAGGATGTTTTGTGAGTGCGTGTATGATGGGCTCGCAGGACAGGCGAGAGGATATGAACGCACTAACAGAGAATAGGGAAGGCGATCGTATGACAATGCCGCCGGATTTGGTTGGCAAGGTAGCTTGTAGCCAAGATAGGTCTCCGAATTTGAGATTGAGTATATCCTCTGTAAGGTGTTTAATCTCTAGCTCGTGTGCAGCGAGGTTGACGTCGTATTGGAAGATACGTGACGATCGGAGTGTATATAGAATTTTTGGGATTAGGAGGTAGTTCTTTAATAGAAAGAACGCTTGGACATCTAAAACTGAGGTCAAAAATAAATTAATTATAAATTAAATAATTTGTCGAATTGCGTTGTTAAAATAACGCTCTACTATTTTCAGTAGCTATAGCTTTAGCGCGCTACATTAAAAATAAATAAAGTAATAGTGGTAGCCAGCTTGCTTAATAAATACATATAAATTATTAAAATATATTTATAATCTTATAATTAATTCTAAAGTAGAGATCATATAGAGACAGAAATTTTCGTGGAAAATGTTAATAATATAGAATTTCCTTTTCCTCGCAAAATATTTTAATCTCGATAAAAAAATTAATACAGGGTATAAATTTTGTTTGAGAAAATACATATAGAAATTGACACTGTAAGGATCAAAGGATGAGAATAAATTTATTTATTTTAAAAAAAATATATACACTATTCTACAGATATCTCGGCATATTTTTTAATATTCATTTAATAGAAAACTTATGTCTAAAATCGATTTCGTAATTTTATCATGTATAAAAATTATTTTATTTAAATTTTCGGGACATGATGATCTCCTTGAATTTAACGTCAATCCAGCGGTAGAGAAAACTCTTTCACTAGGTGTGCTAGTCGCCGGAATGCAAAGAATTTTTTTGTCGAGCCTGGAAAGATTGGGAAGTTCACTCTTCTTTTCTCTCCAAAAATTTAGATGTATATCTTGTGAATGTCGTTTTCCAAGAAAACTGGGGCATTCTTGTTCTGTCATCTAACTTGGAATACTAATATATATTTGTTGACTGTTTATAAGCCAATTTTGTCAGATAACTTGAATTTAATAATTCATCTTCATCCTCATTAGCTATATTTATTAACTGATTATCATCATTCTCTATAAGTTTAAGATGTTTTATTATAAATTCTGAAGCTGAACAATTTTGCTCTATTAAATATTTTGTCACAATTGTCAATTTTTAATATCTTGGATCTAAAAGAGAAGCCAATACCTAGATAATTTTAAATAAAAAATAAAAGAGTATTATATATTACTTGCAGATTATAAACCGGAAATCGTAACGCAAGTTTTTTTAGCAAATTTTCCTTAAGTGAAATAATTTTAGAACTATCACTATCCTTTACTATTAAATGTGTTTCAATTTCACAAGTAACGCCAAGTTTAAAGTAGGCCCTTTTTGTACTGAAAGAAATTTGACAGTTTCTTTAAATTTTGAAAGAAATAATAATAGTTCTTCCACCAGATCAGATTCATAATTTGAGAAAGTGCTTCCCAATTCTTTTCAAAACATTATTATTTAAATTCTTATTTAATCCAGATATACTTTGTATCATATTTAATATACTATGCCAACGTGTTGGCATATTTAATTTTAAGGTTTTCATATGCGTGGAATTATTGTTATTATCATTGGAATTGCCAATTTGAAAACGGGTATCCGAGTATGGATCAATGCTGTCAAGATCTAACATGTCTGATGTTAAATCTATTGTACTAGCATTATTTTGATATTCCTCGAATTCAAATTCGACCTCTGTAGTTTTATATCTTAGAGCAGTAATAATTTCTATAATTCTTTTGCAAAAAATTTCCAGACTACGGATTTTTTATTATCCAGAGTTAGGATACTAAAATTATTTATAGAATTATTATATATAGATGCATCCATTTTAAAAATATGTAAAATTATGGTAACCTTTGTAATTTTAGATTGATTGAATTATATAATGACGTCAATATAACTGATTTTAAAATAGTAGAAAATAAAAATTTATCAAAATCCTGATTGACATTAGAAAATTACAAGAGTGATGTTGACCAATTATTAGAATAACAAGGTATAAAATATAAAATAAATTTCTGCGCCGGCGTGATTTTCTCAAACCGCAGCGTTTTCGGCGTAACCAAATAGGTATATGTATGAATTAATTAACCTTTTTTATCACTTGTAATTCTTTAGACGCAAATTTCTTTTATATCAACCATCGAAAATATTTTATACGGTAATAAATAGATTTTATATTCAAAAATATTAGTTTTAGGTATGTCTTATATTGTTTTAATTATTTATTTAGTTTATTTTGTAAGCAAAATATAATAAATGACAAAATATGAAATTCAGAATAATTGTTTAGAGTTAGTAAATTTTAAAAAAGTATAATATATTAATATAAGGCCGAAGACTGGCTAAAAGCCGAGGGCAGAGGTATGGGGGGCTTCGCTCACCATTAAATTTTTTTTGTTTAGCCCCCTGAGATTGTAAAGGTTAGCGACGCCCCTGCTACAGAACAATCCAAACAATTTATAAGACAATACGACTGCGAAAGGACCTGAAAAAATATTCATAGGAAGATAATTAAAAATTATTTAGTTAGAAAAAGGTGAGTGAGCGAAATCTTAATTAAATCACATATGAAAAGATATCTAAACCAGAGAATTATACATCGGATTCTTAGATGAGAAACTAAAGATAACAGGGGTGAGGTAGTAACCTTAACGATAACTATTATGATTGTACTCAAAAATGCATTTTATTAGAATAGATTAAAATAGAATAAGAATGCAGGATACTATAAACATGCAGATCAAAACAAAAATAGTAAAAATATAATACGAACAATTGCCGATTAAATATATTTGCAATATTATTTTCATTACTATAATGTTATATCTGATTTAATAAGATTGATTCAAAAATATAAATTCCCATAAATAAAATACTTCAAATTTATTTAATCCACTTTTATGTGATTTTTAACATTTAATGAAAAAGTGAACAATCTATATTGAATATATAACGCTAAAAATATAGTTATTTTATTAAGGTCTTTTGAATTATTACTAAATTTAAAAGATCATGCATGTATATTTTTATTTAAAAAATTATTCTGCCCATATTTTAAAAAGTCGTCTGCGGGCCTATTTAGTTACAAATTTTGTTCAGCCAAACCCATCCATTCTTACAAATTATTTGATTGTTACCTCTATATTTTCACTTATTCAAATTCGCCCGGCCATTTTAAACTTCTAATTAATCTAATAAATAATATATTTTTTTATTCTCATTTTTTTTGAGGAACCAAATTTAGCTAATTTGATTATTTGAAATGAACTCTTCAATGCTAAAACCACATTTTTTATCAACGTATAAGGTATATCAATATAATAATACTATTTTTACAATATAATTATGAAGCCTGATGATATCGAGAGAGAAGCATTCAGAAAATATTTGGAAAGAGAAGGAGTTATGGATGTATTAACCAAAAGTTCAATATTTATAAATTACTATATTTTTAAATTTATAGTAGTACTCTTGACATTATATGAAGAAAAAGAGAAACCGAAATACCCATTGAAGTATTAAATTTAAATAATATAAATCTTAAAGATTATTAAAAGATATATTAAAGAACAATTGCAGGAACTTGTGGAAAAATTAGAATGAACTTATTTTTTTTAAATATGTAAACTATGGTAATAAATAGCATTTAAATAATATTCTGTGATATTGAGTATTAAATAATAAAATTTTTATATTAAAATATATGGAATTATAAATAATACATTCTTTAACATGATTATAATATATATATAAATATTTAGAAATTAATAAGTTTCTGGAAGGTGGTAATTTCTTTTCCTTAAAATCAACAGTTTTGAACGTTCTTTTTCAATTTGACTTTCAAGTTCAAGAACCTTGATCTTTTTAATAGAATTAAATATGGTTAATTTTTTTAATTTAATTTATTCTACAATAAAAATATTAACAAATTATTTAAAATGCATTCAATTGGGCATTTTAATATACAATGGAAATTAAATATATCAATTAATTTAAATACTGATTTAATTAAGCAAGTATATGATTGAAAAACATAAAAGATTATTACTTGGCTTTCCATCTCCAATAATTTGGCTTGATGGATGCTGAGATTTGTTAGATTAACCTCCAAACTCTCTTGGAAAATAATGATATACATAGTTTTTGAGGCTTTCAGAACCTCGTGAACTTTATCACCAACAGATTTGGAAACTTCACATAATTCCTTAACTAAATCTTCATTTTTTGTCCCTTTGCTAGATTTAACCTTTGCTGACCATGTTAATTGGGCTAGGTTTTTTGTCATTTCTTTAGCGATTGTCATGATTTGTTCATATTTAACTGATTTAAGTTGTAGTTTATTTACATTTTCCCTGTTAATATATATAATATAGTATATAATTTAAATTAGTAAAAATATCTCATATTTTACTATATATAATTCCTATTTTATTGGTACAAGTTATAATTAATTTATAAAAGTTAGAAAATCAGGAAAGCCCAAATTCTTAAATAAATAATCTGTGGATTATAAAATATTTATTCATCATGCTATACATATTTTCAACAAATTAGAAGGATCTAGGCGAGACCTCCAAAATCCAATTTATTAAATGAATAGGATATACAATGTCAAATATAATTATTACTTTAAGGTTATTTTGATGCTACTAGAGTATAATGTAAACTATTTTCTTTTTTTTCCAATTTCTAATTTTTTAAAATTTATATTTATCTTTTTGATTTTTTTATGAACATCTCATATTTTTATGTAACTTATTTGATTTTATTCAATTTATATATTTTTTTATTAGAGCTGTGCCGATCCACATATTTTTCACCATATTGCTTCATACCGATTTTTCATCAACCCCCTTTGATCCAAATTTTATTAAGAAATCAATATTTTTTATGAAAAAAATCGAATTATGAATATAATTTTTTTTATTTCTACAATTAAGACTATAATTAAAAAAATATATATTTAATTAATAATATATCCATTTTATGTTGGTATGAATTATAAATGTAATATTTAATATATAAAATTATAATTTATTAGATTTTTTTAAAATAAATATGAGAGCCAGCCTATCGATTTTGGTTGTAAAATATTTCCATAATTCAGATATCATATTTTAAAAATTAAAGTAAAAATAAAAAAATTGGCGTTATTTAAAAAGATTTAAAATAATTAAAATTTTGGTTAAAATACTATAAATCTATTTTAAAAAAGAAATAAAATTTAAAATTTTTTTTAGAAAATATTATAATAATGTAAAATAAATATACATAACAAAAAAAAGTAAAAAGATCGGATCGGGTTTTTACAAGTATCGGCCCGATCCGATATTTTCGGAAAACGCTAAATATCGGTACCGATCTGATTCGATATTTAATATCGGCACAGCCCTATTTTTTATAACCTTTTTTATCAACACGTTTGGGTTTTTACATGAAAAATAAGGAGAATTAAATCATTTTTAAATAAGATCTGGCACTAGAATTGAGCGGGTAAATAAAACTTTCTTTTGGATCTAGTTTGGTACAAAAAAGGATAAAATATCTCTTAATTTTTACTTCAAAAATTAACAAAATAAAATAACTCACAAATGAAACTAAATATAATATAGATGATGATATTACCATTATCAATTTTGGAAACATGTAGCATACATCCGCTAGAGTTCTGCAAAATTTAAGGATAACAGATTTTTGATCAAATTTTATTTAAAAATGCCAAAATCTATCTTTTATAATTTCATGCATAAAATCTTTCAAGATGAAATCAAAAATTAAAAAAAAATTTCAATTATTTTATTCCAACTTTAAAAAGATTTTATTTTAAACTGAAAAAAAGTTTTATTTTATATAAAAACTAATCCATGTTAAAGAAAGAGTAAGATCTTAAATAAGGTAAATATTTAAAGAACATTTAAAAAAAAAAAAGGTAATTGATGTAATTTGTATTTAAATATAAAATAAGAATTCTTGCTGTAATGAAACCAAAGATTATTTCCTTTTAATATTTTTTAAAGAAAAATAGTACATTTGAAAGCATGAGGAAATAAAATAAGCATAATTTGTAATTTTTTTAAATAAAAACTTGCACCGAACAACCAACTTTTTGAAAAATTCGTGCCAGACAGGTCTGTGCAGGGTTTTACAATGCATTCTATTAATGAAGGCCTATGCTCTGGCCCTATTGGTCTTAAACCGAGACTAGATCGTTTGGTAAACCGGTATTTTATGTTTTATTAAATATTTGTGTATATTTTATTTTATATTACTTTTCTAGAGGGGTTACTTTAGTTTTTGTGTGATTTTTTTAAAAATTTAGTTCTTTTTTATAATATATTATGAGAACGAAAAGTTTGCAAAAAAACAATTTACCTTAAAATTATTTGTATTATTAATTATATTATACATATATGATTAGATATTGTTAACATTAAATACTTTTATATTTAATAAAATGTTAAAATAAAAATTATATTAGATAAAAACAAAAATATTTTAAAAATAACATAAAAAATTAAAAGACAAGTCGTTTTATATAGGCCCGTCTAGACCTGACTTTTATTTGAGGGTCCGGTCCACGTGTATTGGTCTGGTTTAAAGACCGGATCATGGCCTTCACTAGATTCTATCCAGAATTTGAAATTCAAACAAATCCTTTTACAGAATCATAATCTTCTTAGTCTAGATTATAAGATATGCAGTATTTACATTTCAATTTTAACCAATAGCGAGTGATCGAAACCAAAAAAATGCTAATTAAACTTAAAAATTAATATTTTTCCATCAAATTACGAATTGATATTTTTTTGATATGGCAGTTGATTTTCGGGATGGAAAGTTTCCATTGAGAGGACTTCCGCATGGAATTAGGAAATAATGGGAAAATTAATTTATCTATGAATTATTTATTAAATATGTTGAACGCTAGGTTAGCATTTAAAATGGCAAAAAAGCAAATATGAAGAACCCTAATGGAAATGTGATTTAAATTTTAATTATACTTAGGGTTTAATAAGTGTTTAAAAGCCAGAAAATATTTCATCTATTAGTGTACTTGATAATTCCATCCCAAATATGCTTTACACCAAAATCATGAGGCTTTATATTATAATTAGTTAATAAATTTGATCAAAAAAAACATTCAAGAATGGCAAATTACTTCTTAATGAAAAAAAATCTAATTTGAGGAAAATTGTACAGTCAAATAAAATATATTTGTTAGGCTCAGGAAACAAAAAGTATGCCTCCTTATAGTAATCCTTTAATGCAACATAAAACTTAATATAATAAAAAATCTGTTTGATACTAAAATCATGAAATGGTAATTATTTTTAAATATACCTGGGCCCGGCATAAGAATTATTTTTAAAAAATATCCCGGACGGTTGCCAAAAATTAAAATAGGGCCGGGTCGAATTTAATCTTTTGCATAAATATTTAGTAGAATGGATAATGTGGTTTGTCAACACCTAGGCATCCATTTTAAAAAGCAAATAGTTCTAAACATATTTAGAATTATATTTGGCTAAATATTACATTTTAACTACATTTAACATCTGTTGCCAGAGTTCATTATCTTTGTGATCACTGGAATCCCTTTTTTGATCGTCGAGATTATTTTAAAAATTTTGGTTCATTGTTAACAACATTTAAAATATTATTAAATAATTACGCAAAATTTGATACCAGACGACACTATTTATTAACAATTTATTATCTAGGAAATGAGACGATAAAATATGTGAGTAAAGTATTAGCTTATCAAAAATATAACACTTGTTTCTATTTTTTTTTAAAGAATTTCATAAGGTTTAAATTTTTCCGATAGAACTGTTATCAGGAATTGAAACCTTTTTTTAAATTTACCGGGTATAGGTTGTGATTTTGAAAAGGGTTCGGTTCGGGTTTGGTAGAAACAGGCTAGAATTTTGAATAAATAAAAAAGCAGCAACTTCATATCTACTTATAACAAAAAATAATATTTTACTTTTTATGGTCATATTCAGTTTTGATATTAAACTGATTTTTTTTTACTATATTAAATTTTATGTCACATTAAAAGATTATGAGCTAAAAAATTAAAATCATGGTTATAGCCTTATTATTTTTCGCACGTTACATATAATATATATACTATTCTATTTTGATTAGAACATTGTGAGATCTAGCCAGAATCCTAAGTTTGGAATGTCTAAAATTTTGTAAATTTCTTACACCAATAAGATAGCATTGAGCCCAACAATTTTAGCGGCGGATATAAAACCTTCACTCCATTTATCTCCTTTGCAGTAATAAATCTGTTGAGAGTCTGGGTATTGACATACTTCTTTTTGTAGAAAAACAGCCTTTTCTATCAATAATTTAACCGCCTTTTAATTCAATATAAAAAAAATCTTTTTTTTATAACGATATTAAAGGTATATTTTTTTTAGAAAGGATTTTGAATTTAGGAGAATTTTAATTAATAATAGCTTTATTTTTTATAACAAAACAATAAAACTTTTTGTCAAAATAACTTCATAATTTGAAGTAATAAATATAAAGATAAAAAAATCAGAGATGTGAACCCTCCTTCTAAAAAAATGGGTTCGGGTTTAGGTTCAGTGAAAAATCTATGAACCCGGTTAGGGTTCAGGGTTCGGAACCAGAAAAATAATGACTTATATAAATTAGTTAAAATAACAGAAACATCATTTTTTTTAAATTTATTTTAATTAGTATTGCCATAAAATAATTTATCAACAGAATTATAATATATTCGTGATTTTGTACTTCTCTTTGCCTTACAATCAATTTAATAATCCATAAACAACAATACTCTAAAATAGATATTATTATATATTATCCTCATTTATAAAAAAACTTTTAAAATCTGCTTTGCTTGGTAAAATTTAAAAATTTTTACGAAAAACGACCCACTCTTTAAATTTAACAAAAATGATCAAAAAATGTTTTTTTTTAAATTAATATAAACAATTATTTTAAATATGAACTCTTTTTAAATAGGAAATCTTTTATAAATGAAAATCGTAAATTACATGTTTTTTATTTATTATTTTTAACATATAATTTATAAATAAATATAATGAAAAATTTTTTAAAAATAAAAAAAAATTTATTTTTTAAAAAGTTGGGCCCTGAACTCTAAATTTAAAAAAAATGGTTCGGGTTTGGGTTCAGCGAAATATCGAGGGTTCGGGTTTTCATCCCTGAAAAAAATCCTTATATTATGTAGAATCCAAATTCGATTAAATTTTCTTTATTTACCAAAGGCTAAATTTTATGATAAAAAAATATAAGAATCATTCGATTTTGCGCTACAACAGAAATAATCACTCGATTAAAAATAATTTTAAACAACATTTAGTTGGCTGAGTATTATAGTGTTCAATTTATTTGCCTAATATTTTTAAAAAAGATTCGGGCCGGGTCGGGTCAGACCTTGGAATTTTTTTAAAATATATCTAAATTTATCAATTTTATATTGAATTTTTTAAAACTAAACGACATATAACATATGTTTTTTATTTTGAGTAATTATAAAAATTAATTTATATAATTAAATGAATTCGGGCAGGGCCGGGTCGGTTAATTTTTTAAAAAAATCGGGTTCGGGCCGGAAAAAATTTTTTAGAAAAATTTCGGGTTCGGGCTTGAAAAATTAGGCCCGATGCAGATCACTAATTTACACCCTCAGATGATAGCACTTGAGATAAGGTTCTCAAGATCCCACAAATAATATTTTATGGTGGTGGCTCTGCTATACCTAAATATAAAAATTAATATTTTATGACTTTTTTGAACGGTTAAAAAAAATTAGCGATAATCAGAGCGGGACATTTTTTTAAAATTGTTAACGGAACAAAAATGGAGTATTCTGAGTCCTTGGTAAAAAGTAGTGGGAGGGGGTAATAATAGAAATAATATAATTTTAATATTTAAAAAAAATTGTCCATTTTTTTACCATCATTAGTTCATTGCACACTTCAAGCAATAGTTTATCTTCGGATTTATAAGTAGGAAGAGTAACCAGAACAGATATACTCTTCTCAAGCTGAAGTCTAGAAGAATCGATGTCTTCAAATATCTCCCAAATTTCTTTATCGCATTGTGCTAATTCTTCGTTTAGATTATCATTATTAAATGGCTGTATCAAGGAAGGAGTGATGGATGAATTTATAAGTAACAATAATTCATTAGCCAGGTATTTGAGGAATGTGTTCCACTGAGTCGTTATTCTAAGGATGAAGTTTTCGGGATGTATCTCATTTGTCGTATCAAAATTGTTGAGGTAAATATTGCACAACTCATTAGTCTCCGTAGTAGTGTTGTATGTTTTGTCGCTAAAAAATTTGCAAGTAGTAATAAGGCTTCGGTGCAAATTATCTATGAGTTTCAAGATTGAGGATGGGAATGTTATATTTTTCGCTATTTTATCAACAGAGAAACCGTTTGAAAGTTTATTGGATTCTTTAAAATTAGAACTGGAGGCATGAGCAAGCAAAATAGGAATATCAGTTTCTACAGGTTCTAAGCCTAGCATTTCAAAATCGTTATCAATATTCTCTTCCGCCTTGCCTTTTCCAGAGCTTGAGGATGAAATTTGATCTTGGTATAGATTCGATGCTGTACCTCTGGTCTAATTTTTTGAAAACAATAATTTATTTAATTCAAAAGTTAATTAATAATTTTTTTCTCAAATGCAAGAACAATTACTATATACAATAATTATATATATAATATAATATAATCTATTAAAGTATAATATAGTTTTAAAAATTGTTAAATTCAATGATTTTATTTGAAATTCAATTTTCCTTACTCTGATCATTCCTTGTTCACTATAAATTATATAACTTATAATATAAAATTAAACAATAATACTCGATAACTTACACTTTCGCAAACTCGCATGAGCCCTCCAAAAAATTTGCACAGGACTACCAAATAGTCAGTAAGGTTACCCTTACCAGAGTACTCTAAATCAGACTTTTTTTCATCTTGATGGATGGGTATCAAAGATTTCAGAATTTGACTTATAAAGGTACCACTCTGAGTCAAATATTCGATGGAATCATGTTGGACCGATGCTTGGCTTGAATTTGCATCATTATAGAAGTAAGGAACGAGTGTGGATGAATGGATGCTCAAAGTATCGTTCATTATGGTATCGCGAAAATTTTGGACAAAAATGGCTAGAGTAGATTATTTTTTTGAAGAAAATATTAGGGTAATGTATTATAAAACATGGTTTTTTTAAAAAACTGAATTAAAATTTATTACTAGATACTGAAATCTAGCTAACCACTCTATTAGTGAGGTAACAGACAGAAAAATATAGACTGGACCAGTAAACATAAACATATATTTTTAAATTATAAAAACGAATCGACACCGAATATTAGTATTGTTAAACATCCTTTTCCCCCGTCAGTAATATCTTCTGAGCGTTTCTTGAAAATTTTATTTTACCGGAAGTGTATTCCAGCATATCAACATTATTCATAATTTGTGAGTCATTTATATATAAAAAACCATGAAAAAATTAAATAAAATTAAGTTTGATGGCAAAAAAATTATCTAGAAATCTAGAAACATTTCAGGTAAAATGGATTTTTTTTCTTCAAAATTTTAATAAATGTCCTCATATCGAAAGCTATGCTTAATAAAATAAAAATAATTGGATTTGGAGAATAAAATAGGCCATTTAAATGAAGAAAATAAATTTATTATAATATCAAATAAAAATGCCTCTTTAAAAAAAACGAAATAATTTAAAAATTATCAGTGAACACGGCAACCTAGTATCTTGAGCGCCAACTCGAGGGATAGATTTTGGTCTATGGTTGATGTGTTGGGTATATTTGAGAATTCTTGATTATTTTCGGCCTGAGATTCCTTGTCCAATTTCGTTATTTTGGACTATTATATTTTTCAGTTGTAATTTTTTAAAAAAATATTAATTTATTTATACACTAGGCGTATTATTTATTAAAAATATCTGAACCGATTAAATTACCATAAATATAAAATTAAATTATAAATCTGGGGGAATTGACTCTTCTAATAGTGTATAATGAAATTTGTTATAATTATTTATTTAAAGCGATTGATCAAAGGCAATTTTTTTTCTAAACAGATCTGAAATTAAATTCGATGGCTTGTCTGAGTGCCAATACATGCCCATCCAAGCCATCTTAAAAAGGTTGTTACAACTTATGCATAGATTGGAAATCTAGTTTTATACCATATGTACATATATAAAATGTCGATTCGGTTGGAAAGGGCAAGCTTTAATTTTCATCAAATAAAGTAAAAGATTAAAATTTTATTCTAAGCTCAAATCTTTGGCATTCAAAAAAGGTTTTACCGTTATTGTTTGAAAAAAGATAATAGACAAATCCTATAAAATTAATAAGCTAAAGAAATATATTTAGAATAAAATAGCGGTGGGGAGGGGATTATTAAAAATTACTAAAAAGCGATTTTAAAAAATACATGGGATTCCACAGGTTATAACCTAGTGCCTTTTCTTTGTACGCATAAATGTGTATTCAACAGAGCCAAGGGTAATATCCTTTTAAACTTTACTTATCAGTAGTATTCTCTAATAGAGATCAACCCGACCTGTGAAGAATTTTAAAAAGGGTTTTCAGCCCGACAATAATATATTACTGAGATTGCTAGGGCCGCATTTTGTTGACCCGACTTTTAATTATTTTGTAAAATGTAAATCCAAAATTAGCATTGTTCTGGATTTAAAAATTTGTAACCTAGTCCAAAAAAAATATCACACAATATTTTGGTGTTTCAGGAACACGCAAATCCGTATTTTCTATCATGTGTATGACATCTTATCAATTTTTAAAGTGTTAAAACAAACATCATGGGATTATAAACTATTATAATAAATAAAAAAATATATAACATAATTGAGAAAAAGAAAATACCATCTTTATCAATTGAAAGTGGGAACTTCTTAAATTCTCGTACATGTGTTTCAGAGTTTCGTAACGTGTTTTGAAGTTTTCGAGACTAACTTTAATAACATAAAATTATTTTTTTTAAATAATATATTTATAAAAAAATATCCTAAGTAATTGGTGTGCATAAGTAAAATTAATTTAATATTAAATTCCGTATTGCAAATGAATTCACGGAATTCGCCCCCCCCCCCTTCATTTTTTAAAAAAAATTATTTTTAGACTGATTATCCATTCTAAATGATCCTTTATCATAGCTTTTGGGTGTAAATATGTTTTAAGATTTTAATTAGTTAGCATAGGGGACTATGAAAAGCGGAAGGGATTTGTTAAATTAATTGTTTAATAAAATTCACTATACTATATATATTCTTTTCCAACTTCTTAATTTTTCTTCCTCCTCACTGGGCTTGCAAATCAGATCCTGGGTATCGGTGTAATTATCGACCCTATCACTGTCTTTTGAATTATCTCGGTCATCGATATAAATTTCGGTATTGCTCGATTTATCTTCTTTGGAAAGATGTTGCGTCGTTCGAAAAGATGGGTTTTGGGCGTTGAACTTAGAAGAGGAGGAAGGCGTGTGACCATTATGAAAATATGGGGTTAAATCTATTTCCTCTTCCGTTTCTTCGACGTCAGATACCTTTTTTGAGTCATTTTGAAAGATTGAAATTTAAAACAGTTATAAATATCGAGTATATATGTATTTATAATCTTTAAAGACAATGTGAAGTGATTACCATATGCAATTTTTATTTATCTTAAAATTTTTATTTGATTTTAGATATTTTATCTTTACTATGGCAAATTTTCTATTGGTGGATGTGAGTAGAGATAAAGTCAGTATTTTTGAATATATTTTTTTGTTTGTGATATGGCAAGTGTGTCAATATTATTGTTTTTGGGGAGAGTAGTAGTGCGAGTATAATCCGAGTGATTTACTTATAGCTCAAAATTTAATAAATTAAAGGTTGCCCCTCTCAACAGATTTCTTGTTATTTTTGCAATTGAAATTTTATGGAAATACCTTGGCATCTAAGCACCATTCATAAAATCATAAGATCCGTCCAAAATTCCCTTTATTTTTAAAATTTAATCTCCACATCAACAAATACGAATTACAATATAGTTTTTGGGCATGATATCATCCATAAATTGCTTTAATAGCTTCATATAATATTAGAGCCTGCCCCCTTAGTAACCACTCTCAGGTTGCTGACACTGTTCATAGTTTCCACATTTGATTAAGTCAAAAAATTTAGCTCAAAAAATCAAATCGCTAACATCTGAACCGAGGGAATTCCTATTCCTCAGACAGAACATACAAACCAATAATTTCAAATTTAGCTATTGATCACTCAACTATGTTTTTCTTAAAATTAATTGTTTTTTAAAGTTTATATTATTTTATTTTTTATATTTTTATAGATATTATATATAATAATTTTAACAAATAATTTAATCAAAAAATAAATAAGTTAAAGGAAAATTTAATAATTTTAACTTATCGAATGCATCATTTTTAATATTTTTCCCAGTTTCAACAGAGGTTGCAAAAATATGTATTACCCTTATAGCGAATTTGCACTAACTCTTTTCAATGGGAGAGATTGTTGGTGATATTCAATTTACTTAAAGTAACACATTATTTTGCTAAAACCTCATACGTGCCACTAATGATATTAAATCTTTTTGTTTTAATTATTTCGGCTAATTTTCCTAAACTAGTGAAGCAGAGCCAATTTTTAAAAAACGGCTAGCTCAATATTTTAGCCAGAAAAATATCTTAGCCTGAAGATTTTGCTCATAGATGTTTATAAAAATCGGCTCAATTAGAGCGATTTTGATATATAGCCATAAGTTAAAAAAATTACTTTTGGCTTCAATATTTTATTCCTTTTTTGGGGGATATTATTTTTCTCTAGACATGCCTCTATTATTAGAACATTCCTTAAGACTTCATAGTTTTATAAATAGTGAAAAATTCCCGTTATAATTTAATCAGTTGAAATAATAATATGAATGACTAATGATACTAAGAGAAACAAAGTATAGGAGGGTAAAGGCGTCCTCGTTAGGGCTAATTTGCTATTTATGGAAGTTAACTTGAAGACACCTCTTAAAGTCACCCACACACAAAAAAAATTGAGATCTTAGTGGAACGATGTTGGGCATCTAAATCAACACTAGCTCATAGGTAATCAGTCATAAGAAAGTAGTTGAAATTATCTATGCTATGTTTGATGTTTTTTTATTATAGGAGGAGCTAGACAATGAATAGAAAAATATGTTAATAGATATCCCCATAATTTGATGTATGTCATTAAAACCATTGTTAACATCTGAGAATATGAGAAAATTTAATAGCAGGTAAGATGTTTTGTGATAGGACCTTTTCCCAGTTTAAAAAGTTATCATTTATCATGGTAAATATGGTTTTTTGATGAAATTATGAGACATGAAAGGATCTTCCTGGGAAAGAGTCAAGAGAGCCATAATGATAAAAAATAACGGGCAAAGGCTTTGAAGGCCATAAGATGCCAGCAGGTGATAAAAAGAAAATTAATTGATTGTGCTAAAATTTTATTATATTTCAATTTAAATAGGTTGCAAATTTAAATACGAATATTAAACGTTAGAATGGTAACTTTAATACACAATGTGATCCTCGAACTAGAAATAAATCAATGTTCACAGATGATATTTAAAAAAAAACAGTCAATAAAAAACGACTGTATTATAAACCTTTTTGACTTCTACAAGACCAGGACTCTGGATTCTTTTATCAACTTTTGAGAATTCGCTTTTCACGTTGCCTTCTTCACTTTCCGGTTTAAGTTGCATATTCTCTGCCAGTATTTGAGCCAACATATCTATGCTACTGTTTTCCTTACTTTTACCAAGCGAAGAAGAATCCGAAGTATCATCAATGAGATTTATGAGCCTAGCGTAATCGGGTTGGATCGAGGGGATAGAAGGATGTCTCTGGGCTATGAACTTGGTTTGTTGGTAAAGGCTTTTTCTATCGTCAGTATCAGGCTGGCGCGATGATGTAGTGAGTGATGAATTAAAGGGTGAATTTTCTTGATCATCAGTTGATTTAAATTGAGTTTTTCTTAATCTAACTGGAGTGTGTTTGACGAAATTTGGTGAATGCTTCAAAAAAAATGGGTAAAAGATAGTTTATGATAAAAAGGACAAACACGTGAATTGTAAATAGGAGAAAAAGAAATGATATATTTTGGAAATTTTTAATGATGAATACACGAGTTTGGGATTGAAAACATAAAATTTTAAGTTTTTGCCTTAATAAAAAAAATTTGATTTGAAAAATTATTATTAATTATCTATAATATAAATTTAATACATTCTTATTTATAATTTTATTTTAAAATTAAACTTTTGACGGCCCGGGGTAATCCGCTCCCTTTCCAAATAACCTAAACCATATAAAATCAAAACTACCAAAAAAAAATATTTATTTTCCTGACAATTATTGGCATAAATTAAAGTTTCATTCTTTAATAAAAAAAAAATAAAATATTTTATATAATAATAAATACTGAAATCGAACCTTAAATCATATATAAATTTTAGAAAATCAGAACAACAAAAGTTTAATTATAAAAAGGTTATTATAATGTATACGGACTCACCTCGGATAATTGTGGGATAGCGACCAAATTTTTGAGATATTGAAGTCGTAGGGCCTCTTCGAAAAACTTCTTCAAACTAAAAAAAAGAAGAGGAGGATAATGTTCATGAAATGTAAAACTGGGTTTAATGATGGATGGAGATAATTTGCATTATAATTATTTTTTTATATTCTTTCAATCTATTAAGCAAGAGAATATTTAGTAATAGAAAAAAATATTAAAATTTTAATATAATTGGGGAAAAAAAAGTAGGTGAAGGTGGTTGGGATAGAAGGCAGAGGAGCAGAAGGATCAAAGAGCTCACCGCCAGATTATTAAATATATCATCTATCAAAAATAATTATGGTTCGATCCCCTTATTATAATAAAAAAAACTAGCAGACAGCCCGTCGATGGATGAATCAGAAATTTCATCTTTATTATATGATAGGCGCATCGGAAATTTGCTTTTTAGAATATGTTATGTATTTATTATGATTATTGGATGGGAAAAGGGACTCCTTTAGTCTCTTAAATTTGCCAAGAGTAAATTGTTTTACTTAACTTCCACCAGACAGCGGTATATATCCGATTAGGATATTATAATCTAGACACTAATTCATAAATTTTTAAAAAAAATAAAAATACAATAAGAAATAAAAATAATTATTTTTCTAGCTATTTATATTTCATTCACAATAATTTAAAACAAAATAACATTTATTTATTAATAATTATGTATTCTAAAAATATTATCGATTTTTTCTTTTACATAACAAATTTAAAAAAATTATACATCTTTTCTACTTTTCGTCATTACTTACGACAGTAAAAATTAGAAATTACCTTTTTTAATAATTCCGAAATTTTCCAGCTCCCGCGTAAATACGGATACAAAAGAATTATAAACAGGTCGGAGGGTAAGTTAAAAAAAGGAAGGATATAAGGGTAACCTGCGATATAAATATCAAAGACAAATTTAGTTGTCCATGAGTAAAACACTGAGGTGGGAAGAAACAATATAAAATGATAAATTAGGATATGAAATAATTAAAACAAATATACCTTAATGCCCCTTTAACATAATTAATCAGTTTAAAATAAAATTAATATTTGATTATTAAATTGCGTTACATTTATTTTTTTTCTCGCTAATCTCTATAATAAATTAAAATAAATATTCTAAAAAAAAATTAAAAACATGATTGAATAAATGTTATTATTATATATAAAATAAATAAGGTGCTTATGGATGACGCATAAACATCATAGATATTAATTATTACAAAATTATATAGATATTAAATTTATATATAGGAAATATTAACGATTATAAATAATTCAACAAAATTGAATTAATAAAGTAAGCTATTAATTGGTTAAGTTTTTTTAACAAAAATTTTAAAAAAATAAATAGACTAAAACTTCAAGTATTATATAATTCAAAATATACAATGCATTATAAGGTAATGAAATCAAGAACTCACTATTTAAACATTTCCAAAAACCTTTGCCTGTGTCCAATCAAAAAGTCCTGATCGAGATCTAAAGGTTTAAATAATTATTTTTAAAAAATATAATTATAAATTTATTGTCTAATATCGGTAATAAAAAATTATAATTTTCATTTTAAGCAAGTTATATACTTCAATATATTCTGCAAAAAAACTGAATAAAGAATGTCCTACATATTATCGTTTTAAAAATGGATGCACGTTTCTTTAAATTTAATAGTATTCTTTTTGAGAAAGTATCAAAAATTATTAATCATAAAAATATAGTATAAATGTGTGAAATAATAAACTTGCGTGCAATCTCAGCATAATGTTGACTATATGATCGTAGAGTAAAACGGCTTCTTGTATGCAGGGTATCAACGGTTGAACTCTGCACTGACCATTCAAAGTCAATGAATTTAAGCTAATAAACATCGAATAAATTTAGAGTTTTGCTTAAAATAAATTTGAAATTGAATCATTTACAAATGTAAGCGTGACAAAATGTCGGAGGTTAAAAAAAGATAATCAGCCAAAAGAGAAAAAAAATACGATGAGACTGGGAAACTAGGATTTCAGGTCTCTGCAGTATTTGTCAAAGGATAACTGAATTTTCTTCGACCAAACTTCCAACATGTTATTAATTTTTCAAGACTCAAAATTAGAATTCTTTATTAAAATTTATAAAATATATCGCAGTTCATAATGATTTCATATCAACAATCGGAAATGACTCCTGACATTTATTCTCCCATCAATATAATTATAATATACTCGGCCCGTGCCATTATTTTTTTTAAAAAAATTTGTATTAAAATTCGAAAATTCCAAGATCCAATCATTTTCTCATCGTTTCACATGGACTTTTATTTTTATATTTTAAAGTTTTTTTGATAGTTTCAAAATTTTATTAAAATAATTTTATAGCGTGTTCTTATCCTGACTTTGACATTTTGTTCATTCCTCAGATATTTTAACATGGAGCATTCTTTTATGTTTATGACTTTAAATGAAGATTTTAATTTGAATACTTGTTGAGTTCGAGGGAGCGAAATATGCAAGCCTGTAGCTTGATTATGTCCTCAAGATAATCTAGCAGCTCCGTGGATAATTGGAAATAAGCATCGTCGTTTGTGTAGTATTTGTCCAGCTCTCTTTGTTCAATCATAAGCGTATTCGGAAAATGGGGGTTCTATATAAAAGGGTGAATGTAAAAGATTGATTTGGTTGAAAGTGAATTAAAGCTCAGTGCAGCCAGGCTTGTGGGCAAAATTTTTAAATAGTCTTTTAGATTAGATATCCTTGTGTGCTGCCAAGTATCTAACAACCGATTCAATTAAATATTTATTTTAGGAAGTTTTAACTAATTTTATGACTCAATTTTACTTTTTAGGCAGATTTGAGTTTATCGCTCATTTATAATAATTCGCAAGCCCCGAGCAAAGTTTAGAATCTTATTTATGGGAAAAACAATCATTTACCATTATAATTAACTAATATAGGTATTATGATTAATAGGAGGGAGGGAGGGAGGTGGGTAATTAATATATCAGTGTTTATTACTTTGTAATGGAAATCTAATTTGTTGGAGACTAGATTACAAAAGTTTTTTATTAGGGGACTAAAATCGTCTTTCAAATGGCCCCAGAGTTTTCCCAAATCCTTGATACGGGTTTTGTATTTGAGCGATATCGTGAGAGTCTAAAAATATTTTTTTAGTAAAGTATAACTATTTAATTATTTATGTTATTTAAAAAGTGGTTTTGGCGGATCCCCAAATAAAGCTGCTTATATTTATATTTTATCGCACACGTTGTCCCAATGTTTAACAAAATTTTAACTTAAATCGTCCAATCAAAAATAGTGCTAGCTCATTGATATCTTTATGCCCATTTTGAAGACTTGAAATAACTTGTCTAACTCCGGCCCCCATCCCCAGAGTTCATCATAATTTAAAAAATAATAAAAATTATACATTATGATGGCCATCTCTCATAAGCTTGTACAGGATGTAGCAAAACTTCCAGCATACGATCTGATTCCCTTGTAGGGGCATATTTTCCATGACAACGTTCCAAAACACTTCGCAACCTATACCCACGAACGAGCCTATAATTATGGCTGAGCAAAAATTTTTAAATAAAAAATTAATAATTAAAAATATCCTGATAATAGGGATTATAATCAAATTTAAGCAGAATACGCTTTTCAAAATTTTATAAACCAGAAGATTTTTTTGGAATCTGAACTAAAAATTCCGTTTCCGGTACTGAATATTATTTTTTTTTTTAAATAATTCGTTCAGGTTTATACCTATGACAAACACTTAAATACAAATCATTAAGACATTTTATAGGGTTTGGGGGAAATTAAGAATACTCCACTAATTATGCGGCAGAAACCTTTAAAATTTAGACCAGTCCCGAAATTAATGCTGTTAAACTGCTCGATTTAAGATTTTAGCCGAATTAATACTATACGATACGCAAAGCCTCGAGAATGTTTATAGATGTCCAAACCTTTCAGCCATCTATGAGCAAAATCTCTAGGCTTTGCGTTTATTAGTTAATATATTGTAGTCGTTTTCAAAAAATGAAGCTGTTTAATAACACTACATGGAACTTGTTGCGCAAGATGAGATAATTTTTAAAAAAAATTAAAAAGCGAGAGGGGAGAGGGGGGGATGTGGTCTGAAATTTTTAAAACAAATTTAAATTGTATATCAATAAACCAATTGAAAAATAAAATAATTGGATTATTTAACATTCCCTCTACTATTCACATCAGAGACCTGCAAGCCGGTTACACGGGCTGTAAAAATTTTTTATTTAAAATACCCGGGCTGGGTTTAAAATTTTTTTTTTAAAAAAAAACACGAATATAAGAAAATAATTTCCCGAAAAAAAAATCCCCATTTTTTAAGATATTAAAAATTAATAAAATAGGAGAAAAAATTCCTTATAAATATATCCATGTGAGAAAATCAATTCCGGAGAATTATTTTCTAAAAATTGTTATTGGGGATTTTTTTCCGGGGAATTATTCCGCTTATCAAATATATTTTAAAAAAATCCGGGCTAGGCCGAAATTTTTTTTCAAAAATAAATCCTGACCGGGCCGTGCAAATGGTACCTCTGCAGGTCTGATTCACATTCAAAATTTCTTATAAAATAATGCCAAAATTATTTTAACAAAATGTTTAGGAATTCTGGGTAATAAAATGGTTCAAAATTATAAAAATCCTTATAGAACCAAAAAAAAGTTTAATTCGATATACATCTTAAAATTTCATTCTTCCAGGCCTCTAATATGTAAGGGATGGGATGTGTACTAATTTGAGAATGATTTTAAAAATATTATTATATTAATAATCGCTCAACGCAAGGAACGTTCAACTGAAGGATTTTTTTTTAACTGAATGAAATATATATTAAAATTAAACAAGTATCTGAAAAGTATGGAGTAGGATGGATTAAAGGTTAGAAACCTATAAGGTTAGAGTTATTTGAAGGTTTGAGAGATATGGGTTAGGGTTTAGATTAGTTTTTAATAAATTTTAATCATTTTTATTAATAACAACTTGTCAACAAACAAAACAGGTCATGTTATTATATATAAACGAAAGAATTTTTTAATAAATCAGATGTTGTAACGGCAATTCCTTTGAGTTAACCCATAATCTATTATATTAACCAAATAACATGATTGGCATAAGGTTATTATGTTATATACTTATAATATTGATTTATTATAAGGTAAGTATGTAGCTAAGTGGGGAAAAAAATCGATACACTTGGTATGCTAAAAAATGGAATATTTTTTAAAACGTGATTTATCAAGGCTTTTCCTAATTTATCTACTCTTCCTTTATTTCTTAATCTCTTATCCACATCCACCCTTTTTTAGTCATTCGCTCGTTATTTCAAATCATATTTATAAGTAAGAAAGATATATACTTACATCGAACATGTTTTTCCTTGACTGGTGTTTCCTGTAAGTTCATAGCCTTGAAGATGCTATTGATCTAAAAAAAATATATTTATTAATTATATTAGGAGTTAGCCAAATCCCGAGGTTCCAAAAATATTGGTATCAGAATCTCCTTTTAAAAACAAGATAATTCTTTCTAAAATATTCAGAATTTTAAACTCAGGGTCATCCGCGTATTAAATCTCAAGTAGTGGGGGGGGGGGAAGTAGGAATTTTTCGCAATTATGAGCGTTAATTATAGGCCAACAGTGTAGTTAAAACTAAAAGTATGGATGCACCCTGGGTTTTCATTTTATAAATTAGTCAGGGGAGACTTCGATGTTATTGGCCTGAGGGAGGGGATCTATAGGGATGTGCTAAATCTGGTTCTCGTGGGATTCATTCAAAAAATACGAATCGAATAGCGATTATTAGTGTTCGTAGGAATAATAAAATTAACTATGCGAATTCAACTAATTTGTTAGTTTTTTAAAAAAAATATATTATAAAATTATTTATAAGAAAATATATTGACAAAACTTTTTTTTAAATTATTGCACTGTTATCTTATTTAGCTTGTAGATTCTGAATAATAAAATGGAGTATTAGCCATTAGGAATAACCTGAGTTGAGCTGATTCAAATATTATATGAAAATATTCAAACTATTTTTGGGTTATATTTCTGAAAATTTATATGATGCGCAAGCAATTCAGTGTTATGGAAATTTTTAATATGATTTTAAAAAAAAAATTATTCAATTTTATTGGTAGGTAATTTATTTAAAACAGGATACATTCGTTTTATTCAAGTAAATTTACTATTCGTTTCTATTCGAAACAAAATTTAATATTCAATTTATTTTTAAATAGGCCCTAGTTTTTACAAAAAGTATATATCAAATTTAATGTTAAATATATGTTCAAAATTTTATGATGATTTCATTTAGAAAAATTTATTTAGTGTTTGAATGTTATCTTTCATCACTTTTAATCAGGATTAGGATCTAAAACTAGAAATCTTGGAATCGAGCCAAATTAGACCCCCGTTTAAAAAATTTCCAGGAACCTGATCCATCTTATTTTAAAGAATAATTATTAGAATCCTTTTTTAAAAGTCCAAGTTTTAAACTCTGGTTATATACCTGGCGCTAGTTTTTAAAAATATACAAATCTCTTTTTACGGTTAAAGAGAATTTTTGGTTAATCCAATGATATAATATTCTATTCCATTCTCGGCTGCTTAACCAACTTAGTGACAGTGACTCATTGATAAATCAATTAGCTAACATTTTTTATGGCATGGAACCTCTACTATGAAGCTCAACTAAAGGAATGTTCAATGGAAGGCGATTCTTTTAATCGGATAAAATATATTTAAAATTAAACAAGTATCTGAAGAAGGATTATAATTAAAGGTTAGAGATATGGGCTAAGGTTAATTAAAGGTATTAGAGAAATGGGTTAGGATTATATTATAAAATAGATCAGCTGTTGTAGCGGTAATTTCTTTGAGTTGGCCCATAGTTACTAACGACGTGCGTACTCAAATAGACAAGTCGCACCCGTATTAATGTGTAATATATAAGTTGTCAAACAAGAATATTAGAATTAATAATTTCAATCGTAATAAAATGGGTGCGAAGAGATGGAAAAAAAATGTTGTTTTAAAAAGACAATATATATTTTTTTTAAATATATAAAAGCATTGACCTATTAATTAATTAAACGTGTATATCTTTTTTTAAATGCGAAAGTTATGTTAAAATGTTAATTTAAGTATTTTTTTAAAAAAATATAAACGATAAGAAAAAGTTGACATATTGAACAATAATTTAAAGTTTGTGAATCAAAAATTTTTTTAAATTTGGGTGTTATTTCTCCTCAAACCATGTGCTTGCTTCCGATCTAATATATGTATCATTAGTATCCCGAGCAAAGAATAAGAAATAACTAGGAAAAAAAGTGATACAAAAATTTGGCCTCGCCGGAAATGGAACCAGCAACTCCTCGTTTTAATTACACTTACCACTTATCCATATGTTTATTAATTTAAAAAAACGATTCAATTTAATATTTATTTAAAACCTATTAATTTAAACGATAAATGATTTTTATTAATACCGAGTCCAAAATATCAAAAAATTTTACGATTTCATTAAATTTTAAAATTTCGAATTGAAATTTTTAAAAAAGATTTTGGACATAATCTAAAATGAGTTTTTATTTTATAGTTTAAAGCTTGAAATAACATTACTGGTTTTTTAATGTTGTAACTTGTAAGTACATAAATAATTTCACTTTTTTTTTTGAACGTGACTTTCATACTGCAAATTAGTTTAATTTTTCAACAATAAAAAAAACAATTTAAATCTAATGTTAAATAATGATATATTTGAATCAAGATTAGATTATGTTAATGTCACGTCACAAAAATAATGTCACTCTAAATTCTGGGGATACTGTGCAACAACTAACAAAAAGCTGCCGCATGGGTCACCAAGAAACATTAAGTCCAATCTAGTGAAGATCAAGGATCCGGTTTTTAACCACTCCATATCGGGAGGGGGGATGGGAGGAATCTCGGCATGATCAGCTAGTGGGAGACCATTTTTGTTTCCCACATGAACAATTTACGCAAAAATTTTATGAAATCTTCAGTTATTTTTAAAAAAAAAATAAGCAATTGCATATTGAATAAAAAAAATTATATAGGAAATCAAAATGGGGAGTCAACAGCTGATTTGTATTCAACGAAACTTTAAAACGCTACGTTAAATATTATATGTCATTTCTAGAATGATGATGATCATTTTGGTTTCAGGCCCTAGGGTACAAAGAAATGGGTAATAATATTCTTGAGAATTTGACCGTGGTCACCCCGAAATTCATAAAGAGAATATTTAACCAAAAAAATATTTTTTATTTTAATTTTGGATTTTTGTAAATAAGATTAATAATAAAATAAAAAATTTGAATAGATAAAAGTAGTCCCGATTTCGATAGCGTGCTATGTGACACATTAAAAAATTAAAAATTTTTTGTAACAATAATTTCAACATTTTTGTAAAAATAATCAATATACAATAATGGTATAGGAGGAACTAGGAAAGAAGTCGGGGGAGTTAAGAAAGGTGGATTATTTATAATTTTTTTAAAAAAAGTTATAACAAAATGATATGAATGGATTCGGAGAGAAAAATTAACAATTATTCTTTTCATGTTTAAATAAATAATAAACTTTAATTTTTTTTAGCTCAATGAGACATGATGATAAGTAATTTAACGATTCGGGGAATAAAATAATATATCTACTTTGTCAGTGTCAGCCAAAAGTAAGATTAATGGTTTTTAATATTATAAATGATACTTTTAAAAAAAGATATCAATTTACAGTTACTTATAAAACTACTATTTGGGATATGTTAATTTTTTGGCACATGAGGTATTTTATTACCCAATTATAGTTAGCAATAGATATCTATTGTGATTTTAAAAAAAGATTCACAACATGCTTCCTGATATAAATATCAACTTTTGTCAATTGTCGATGAAGGTATTCACGAATAAATAGGAGTGCCAGGTATATAACGAGTTTTCGATTATTATAAAAAATGGCTCAAAGCTAATTTAAATTTTTTTGTATTCGTTTATTTTCCTTGCGCTAAATCTTTTTTTTAATAAAAAAATAAATAATTATCTGATGATCATTTAATATTGTATGATTTGCCAACTTTCTACTATTTTTGTATGATTTAACTTGCTTCATATAATGTTCATTCGTCTGGGCTTTAAATAGGCATTAATTAAGCCATAAATATTGGCATAGATATTTTAGAATGGTTAAAGTTGTTTGCCAACTTTATGAAGATCGGCTAATGAGAATTTTTTTTAGAATTTGGCTTAGATTTATTTTTAGAGTATTCTATATTAAATTAACCAGTATTCATAAAAAAATTCTGATTCAAAGATTTGCAAAGCCCGGCCCGTTAAGATTTTTTGCGCAAGTCTTACCAGGCCCGATCTTTATTTAAATATTTATCCGGCCTATCATAATTTTTTCTTGCGAAAAGCCCTGATCAGACGGCTTAATTTTTTTAGACGAACTTTCCGACCCGCTATCAAATTTTTTCCAAATGTCAATTAATGCTCTTACCATAAATTCATAGTTAGCGCGAATTCACGGCGAAGTATACAAAATATGATATAAATATAAAAATTTACATTAATCTTTGTATACTTTGCCGCGATAGCTCTAACTGTGAATGCACTGATACATACCTATATTTTATGGCTATCTATTTCTATAACAAACATTTTATGAATCAATTGCGTTTCGATCTCTGTATTGTGTGTATTTGTAATTGGATCATGAACTTTTTGTGAATTCAATATTTTTTTATAAATTTAGTATTTTAGTTAAGATAGCTTTTAAAATTATAAAAAAATAAGCATATTGTATTTATTTAAAATCAAATAGTATTAATCAAAATAAATTTATTAGCTCTAAATTTAAAAAAAAAAATTTTTAAATTGATTTTCGATGTCTGGTCCTGATATTTTATGTATGGATTACCCGGACTGACCTAGCCCGTTTTCCCCCTCGGTCCGTTATGGCTTTCGGACGGGCCTTGCACGATCTCTAATCTGATTACAAAATTCTCAATTTTTTAAATTTTACCATTATAAATAATATATCAGAATTAATATTGTTCAGTAAAGTGTCAGTTAATTAATTTACCAGTAAAATAATGATTACTTTACCAATCAGTCAAACAAATAAAAATTAATTTAATTCTAACCATCTCACTTCATTTTCATATATAGACAAACCCTAAGAGCCAGTCGCGGCTCATTAAATATTCAGATAAATTATATACATTAATATTGTTACATTAGGTTTTTGCGAAAGGTAAAATATTAAATAAAATTGGTATGGACGCGCCTATAAGGTTTTCGCGATATTATAATTGGACAATTTCTCTCTCTCCAATCATTTTTTAGGCGGCTGAAAAAAATGGTCATTTCGATATCGGTAATCTTTTTTTGAAAACATAGCCTAACTTTTTAAGAAAGCAGAAATAAATTAAATGGCACCTTAATATTTATAGGAATCTTCTTCGGCGTCTATTAACAGGAATTCGTTATTTAAAAATAGAGCTCAACCATTAAAAAAGCACGGAAATAAATAAACCGCGCCTCAATGCTTAGCGGATCTATTTCGTCAAGCGTCTGTAAATTGACAGGAAATAGCTAAATAAATAGCCATTACTATATTCTTTTCTTCGTATAATAATTTTAATATTTCTTTGTTCTTCTTAAGGTTAAAGAATATTTCAATAAACATGGCCTTCGATTGTCCAAGAATCTGACCTAGCTGATTACTATTAAAACGAGTTCACGTAAAAATAAAGACCAAAAATAATGACAACCTACTTGGAGCCTGCAATGAGATCAAAAATGCTAAATACAAAAAAGGGGGAATGCAATGCAATATTTCTTTTATATTCACGAAAATAATGAATTAATAGATGTTAGGGAAGGTTATACTTATATCATAATTGAATTTTTAACAAAAAAGTAACTAAAAAATAGAAAATATTTTTTTCCCACCGAATATTTTTAATTTAGAATTTTGCGCTTTCGAAATGAAAGAGGTTAAATTATTGATATTACATTTTTTAAAAAAAGTACTAACATTATGACAATACCTAATATGAATCTACTTGGGGCAGAGGGCTGAAAAACCAGAGGCATTCACAAAGAAGATCTTGACAATTTAATTGGTTACCGTTTTAAATCGTTAAAAACAAAAAATGGGAATTTTGCTTATTCTTAAAAAATGGCTAAAAATAGATAAAAAAATCATTAAGATTCTCAAAAATTTCAATTTGGGAACATTTTGGGAATCTAGATTATATATCTTCCATTTTTAGCGATTTTTTTAAAAACTATTTAAATACAAGGGTTTATTTCCCTAGCATCTCCAATAATATTTCTATTACTTTTAAAATTTTCTAGGAGATATAAGAGAATTTTTATTAGTTAGAACCGATTTCATTTAAACTTTATTTGTATTTCATAATTTTTTATTTTATTTTATTATTTATTTTATATCAAATATTTAGTATTATTTTAAAATCTTGATATTTGTATTACCTAATCATGTTTGCAAAAAAATGTCTAAATATTATAAAAATAAAAATTGCACAGGGTAAAAAAAATGATATGTACATTGTTAAAAAAAATGTACTGGTTAAAAAGATAAGAATATGTCTTATTTTCTCAACAGGCGCCTTTAGCAATTTTTCATAATGTTTATATAGTTGAGAGTGAAATTTTGGTATTATATCTAATAATAAACTGTCATTATTTCTTGATAGCAAAATGACCTATTAGTAGATTTAATGATAGAAAGGATGGCTTAAATAGGGAAGTATATCTGGTGTAATGTGCGACAAGAAGATGCCAATATGGTTGAAAAGCAAAGCTTACAAATCCATCGTAAGACCGGTGTTACTCTATGGAAGTGAAACATGGGCATTAAACGCTACGAAAGAAAAGAAGTTATTACAAGCCACGGAGATGAGAATGATAGGGTGGAGCTTGGGGTATACTAAACTCGACCATATGAAGAATGACTGTCTCAGAGCAAATGGGTATTCAACCTATGGCGGACTTGATAATCGAAAATCGGTTAAGGTGGTATGGTCATATACTAAGAAGGGAGACGAATGATGTAAATCGAAAAGTATTGGGCATGGAGGTGCCGGGAAAGAGAGGAAGAGGACGACCTCGTGTTACGTGGAAAGGTCAAGTAGATAAAGTTATAACTAAGAAGATAAATCCGGACATGGCCCTTACTCGATCAAGATGGAAGAAACTTATCAAAACAAACACGACTGTGGGACCATATGCATGATAAAGAAGAAGATAATCTTGAAAACAATTTGATGGATAAATAAAATCTAAATATTGTACTAAAATTGAGTTCATAACCACCTACCATTAAATTTTTAAAAAATAATCTCTTTATACTAATTAACCATATCTTGGGCCCTCGGCAAATCATTCATATGGGACTACATGTGTGTGTCATCATTCCCTTCAAACATAAATTTTAATTTAATAACACAGGCTGAAATTAAAAAGATAAACTTAAAAACTTCTTATTCACTCCAGTAGTGACTTCTACTAATGGGCATTTTTCGTCTTCAACATTTTTGTTTTTAAAAAATCTTGGCAATAAATACGACTTTTCACAAATGAACCAAGAGAATTCCTTTTTATTCGACAAAAAATTCAAATAGAAATTTTTAGACACAATTATGGTTCCTTTTTGTGGACTCAATTATAGAATTTTATTTTTAATTATATATTTATAAATTATAATATTTTTAATTAGGTTTTATGTATATTAAATAAAATTGTAATACATAAAAAATAAATTATAATACTATTGGTTATACATTAATTTCTCTAGTTTTTTGTAAAAATTAATGAAAGATGTAATATTGATTTTTTACATATTAAAAAGTTGATTCTTGTCTTAAAAAAGTACAAATACTCTATAAGGTTTTTGAATAATAATATTCAATTTATTACTTATATTTTTGGATGAATCAAATAAATGTTCAGATATTTGTGTAAAATTGCAAAATATTTTTAACCTTATTTAACCCTTTCAGGTTGGATAATATGAATTGGAAACCACTTACAAAATATTAAGTTAAAACTTAATGAGATTATATTTTGTAACCACCAAAATATTAAAATTAAAAATATTTTGAAACAACCCCATTTATTGCACAAGTCATATAGTATTTATATTTGAAACAGGAGTTAATAAAATATGATATTTATTATTTTGATGATAACAGATTTAATAAGATGTAGGTGCAATCAATGCAATTTCACCTTTCATCATATCTTATTTACAATTTTTTATGACTCCTATATGGTTGAGGGAGGTTTTAAGTATATTTTATTATATAAATAAAAATAAAACTATTACTATTACTACAACAAAATCAAAAATATTATAGGCAGTATTTTTATAAGCTGGAAGCGTTAAAGCTGAATTATGTTCAGATTTATCATTTCATAAATGAGCAAATTATTTTTATGAGGAAAATTTATAAAAATAAAACTTTTCAGTAGAAAAATAAAATGATATATAAATAAAATAAAATTTAAAAAATATATCCTTTAAATATGCATCATATAAACAGTTTTGGATTAGGTTTCCTGACTTGTTATTGATAATAGGCATAGTCAGGAATTTGCTGGGGAAGGTGACCACTATTATATTTGTTTCTATAAATTTTATTAAAAGTCTTAACATTCACACATTGCTGGCCTTAGGCTATGTTATATTTTTGGGATTTTCATTTTTAATAAAAATATATTTTTCCTTAAAATTTTGTATTAGTCATTATTTTAAAAATATATCACCTTTTACTTTTTCTTTCAGATTCTTATTTAGGGATATAAGGGTGTAGGGGTCTGTAGATGGATTTTTCTATAATATTTACTCAGGTTAGACATGTGGTATGGAGAGGGTTATTTCCCTTCCCTTCCCAATTGATTAAGTAAATGTCACTATTAATAACTTAACCTATTCAATAAATAAATACATTATTAATTTGCTGATACTAGTGTTGTTAAACAGTTAGATTTTTAAAAATGGCTGTCAAAATTTTAACCAAAAGATATTATAGAAACCTGGAAATTTTGTTCATAGATGGCAGAAAGGTTTAGATATCTATCAGAAAATCTCAAGGCTTACATAATATCATTTTGGCTAAGATCTTAATTTAAAATTTGCTAAACCGAATCATTTAAAAACATTAACTGATACCTATCAGTGCAATAAAATCATAATAAATTATTTATATTTTCAAAAGCAATGAAAAGAATCATTTATAATTTTAATAATAAAATGGTTTATATTAACTACATTTGGAAGCATACCACAAAAATAATATCTTTTTCTCAAAATATTATTGTGGGCCCTTCTTATTTGTGATCCCTGTATCTGTAAAAAAATTAGCCTAACTAAAGTGGGTTCCTTTTAATTATATTTACCACCAAATTAATAAGTCATTTTTAAAATGAATCTTGAAAAAAAAAAAAATATATAAAATGGCTATTCTTAAAAATTCTAAAATATATTTAGATAAATTTAAAATAATTTGAATTAAATTTGCGCGATTAATCTTACATAACAATTTAACAAAATTATATTTTAATGTCTAATATAAAAATATAATCAACATCAACATAAGTAAATATGATTTTTTTTTTCAAGTGAGAAAAATTAATAATTTTAACACTAATTTATATTAAATTTATTAGTTATTTTTATACTTGAGAATCTAAGAATTCTTTTTGTTTGGTTATCTTAATACCATTCATTTCAATTTTTCATTTTTCATTTATTATTAAATAAACTATTATAAAAATGTTTGACAGACAATTCAACCAATCATTGTGATTGATAGCCATCAAACTTAATGGGGTTATTAAAATAAGATTTTATAGATTTTAAAATGAAACGCTTAAATATAAGATTTTCGACATTACAAAATGATGAGAGCCGTTAAATGGATAACTTGACTAAGATATGTTAAATTCGAAAATTGACTGCAATCATTACCAAAGGAAGAAAATAAACTGACTAATAAGATTAAAATAAATTCATGACACAGATTCAGATGTGATAAATGATATATAATCATTCTGATCCGCCTCTCAATAAAGATAACTTGAAAACATATGATGGAATTATCCCACGAATTAAATTTATACCAAGTTGAAAAGATTTCCCATTATAAAAAACTGGAGATCCTTGAGATTTGGCAAATCACCTGAAAATATTTTATGTGGACTATGATTAATGTATTGAATGGATAATGTGAATCAAAATTAAAATATGAGTGAGATATATGTTGATAATAATTCTGAACAAGATATATACTGGATGGAAAAATTTGAGATAACCGAAGATGATATAGGATTGAATTATGTGGGTAAAAACCTAAGAAAGCACATGGATCATCTAGATAAAAAAACTCAAGCAATAGATAATCAGACATTAAAAGCTTATTTGAGACTTGGAGATCATATGGCAGAAATGACAAATACATTAGATATAAATAAAATTATAAACAAATGTGATTAAATGGAACAATGATAATGGAAATTTTTTGACTCAAGTTAAATTATAAATATTATATTTTTAATCTTTAGGAAAAGTGGAACCAAATAATTCTCACATTAAAGATGTCAATTCTACAAAATTCATTATCATTTTGGACCCAAATAAGAAAAAAATATATATAATTCTTTTAAATTTTACTAATCTCTATATTTTATCTTCTTCCAAATTATTATAAAAATTACATATCATTTTAATAATCTTTTATTCCTAATTACTATATTTTTTTCTCCTCCATTTTTTTCTTATCTTAATTTATCCTCCATTTTTAATTTTTCTTTTATTTTTTTACTTTACCAAAAATTTTATTAAATTTTGAATTTATCCTCCATCTTTTCTTTTATTTTTTTACTTTAACCAAAAAATTTTTATTTCTTAATTTGAATATAAAATAAACAATAAAATAAATAAATAAAAAAGTTTTTTTCTAATTTAGAATGCTATTTATTTATTTTTTACATAAAAACCTACATTCTTCAAAACACGTTTTTCTTTTCATTACTATATTATACCATGCTTTATTACTAATTTTCTACTAAAATTATATATCTTCTATTATCCAACATTTTTTAATTATCTTTTTATTATTATTTATTTACTTAATTACCTTTAATACATTACCCAAATATTACTAATTTATATAATCAATTTAATTATTCAAATTTTATTTCCAAATTTATTAACCACTTTTTTAAATTAATATAATAATCTCTTTTTATATCATAAATAAATAAATTTATTATATTTAAAATTTATCATCTAGTCACCTATTGATTTAAACCTATACTTGAAAAATCAAGTATTTTTTTATCATTTTTAAATAATTTATATTTAATATTTCTTAATTTTTTAAAAATACATAAAAAATTTATATAGAAGAGACCTGGCTACATTAAGTACAGGGAACGTTAGATCACTCTAATTACAAATTGACCTATGTCACAATCAATAGTTCTTGGCATTGGGAATCAGAACCTAATCAAATAGAAATAAAAAATATATACTAAAATCTGATTATTAATCTTTATTTAATAAATAACTATAATCAAATACAAAGTGAAAAACATAAAAAAATTAAAAGAAAAATAAAATTAATTTAGGAAAAATAAAAGTAAAAAATTAAAATCTAAGTTAAACAAAAAATTTATAATTTTTCGCACCATGATTTCTCCATTATATATCCTTTTTCTTTAATCAACATTTACATAGTCTCCCAAGCGAAAAATAAAAAGTTCTACATCCCACTTGTTAAAACTCTTTTTTTCTCATTTACATAGACGGGGATCTAAATAATAACTTAATAATTTTAATAAAACATTATTTTTGTTTACGATTTGAATAATGCATTTTTTTGTAACGCAAAAATGCAACAACCTATTATTTTATTAAACTAGGAGCCCAACATAGATAATTATGTCATAGATGATTGACTAAAAAATTGTGAAAAATATTTAATATTTTTTTAGTTTATTTAATTTTTACAGAAAAAAATTGATACATAAATAAATACTAACACAATTTTATTCTAGTTAATTTTTTTTTAAATAAGATAAATAAAATTTAAATTTTATTAACTACTTTTATTTTATTCTAATATAAATTATTATTTTATAACATAATACCTCTATTTCTAAGATTTATTATTATATGAATATAAATATAAGACTTTTATCTTATATTATATATATTATTATCCATTAGTTTTTTCACTCTACCCAAATGTATGACCATCTAACAAATGACTGTTGATGGTAAAGGTAATAATTTAAATTATACCTAAAATATATAGGCGTAGCCAGGATTTTCATAAGGGGGGGGGGAGGAATTAAAATAATTACTAAGGGCTTCGCTTCCAGACCCCCTTTTGGGCGGGCCTTTGGCCCGCTTTTCCCCAGCCTTTGGCCGGGTTACTTTAGTCAATATATAAGTCATAAAATATTTTTACAAATTTTAATAAAAAAAATAAGCCTGGAACAAATATGAAATATATTTTTATTAGTTTATATAAAATAAAATGAAATATTTTTTTATTAGTTTATATAAAATGAAACATTTTTTTATTATTTTATATAAAATAAAAATATGAAATATATTTTTATTAGTTTATATAAAATAAAAATATGAAATATTTTTTTATTAGTTTATATAAATAATAGTTTATATAAAATAAAAATATAATAAATTACTTGTATTGTATATACCTTAATAAAAAAGCATGGTAATAATTTATTCCAAACAATTATAAGAAATAGACATATAGTTGATTTTACTCTATTATATAGAATTAGCTATAAAATACTAGATAAAATTCTACTTTTACAGACATATTTGACAGTTAGAGAATATATTACAGTTAATGATTTAACAAATTTTACTAATCAATGCTCTTGATATTAAATATAGCAACAATTTGCATTCAATTATTTAACGCCATCTATTTATTTTAAGTTATAATGACATTTAAATTTAAACTTCATATATTCATTCCACAATGTGTTTAAAAGATAATTTCTGATATCCTTACCAATATTTTATAGTTTTCTGTAAAGTATATAATTCGCTATATTGGTAAAAATTACTTGATTGTCATTTGATAATTAGATATACTGTAAATCTAAGACATATAATATTCCACTGTTTGTATTGTGCCTTAATATTTTTTTAATTTTATGATTTAATTTTATCAATAGTTTTATAATTATATTTTACTTTTATTCAGATAAAAAAATTAAAATTACTCACTTTATAAAAAATTATATTTGATATATTATATTATTTAGTAATTTTATGGATCTATTATTAATAATTATAATACATTTCACTTCTGTCTTAAGACTTATCTTTGGCTTATATTCCATTTATTAAAAAACGTTTTTGGTTCATTTTATATATTTATAAATTTATTTTCCCAAAAATCTATAAATTGTGATGAATAGTTTTATAAAAAAATATCAACTTTTACATTCTTTCTTTTAAATTATTATTTAAGATATATGCATACATATTTGAGGGTCAGGGAGTGGGGGGAGGACTAAGGGGAATATTTTTTATTAGCTAAAAATGATATTTACAAAAAGTGATAAATTTCTGAAGGGGGGATTTCCCCTTGCCACCCCCCCCTGGCTACGCCTATACTAAAATATCATACATTTCTTTAATTATATATCTAAATATAAAATATTACTTATTCAATAAATCTAATTATTATCATTAAAACAATTTTTTTTTTAAAAAACATTATATAAATTTAATATTCTCAAATAAAAATAATAATAATTTTTTTGGAAAAAGGAATTTTTTTCTATTCTTTTATTCTTTCTTTTCCTTTGCTATACTCATTATTAACATATACAAATAGCTGGAATATAGTTCCACCTTTTTTACTTTACTTCTGGGTTACAAGGTTTGTTGGTATCCTTGAGTAAAAAAATCGGCATAATTATATGAAGGATGGGCCTTCATATAATTCACGTACGCTTGGGCAAGTCTATGACCAACTTGTTATTAAAGATTATAAGCACTTCAGACAACAATAAAAGGATAATGGTATCCGGATTAAATTGTGATGTGTTTAAATTCAATTGGACTTTTAAGATGGGTATTATATAGCGTTTTATAAAAATAAAATATTCATGAATATATTCTGTATTTTTATACGATTAATCAAATAAAGATTAATTAAATTCATATATCAAGTTTAGCAACCAAGGTCAGGTCCATTTCTGAACATATTTTATACAAAGCCTTTTAATTTTAGTTGGATTACTTATGAAATATAAATAGAATAAATAAAATTCTGAGGTATATACAAGTAGCATTTTTTATAGAATTTGACACTCTTCATTCTAGATTGTTAAATAATGCAAGATCTATCAAAGAATAAAGTGATAAGGCACTTTGTCTTAGATTTCTCCAATTATGACATTGGTCTTATTGCTGACAAAAAATTTAAAAAATCAGAAAATCCTCAGTAAGGCCGATAAACCTCAACAAAAACCTGCAAGAAAAAAATGTATTCATAATATATAGAATTTCTTCTTATAGAAAAATTCTAGATATCCTCGATGAATACAAAATTTATATGAGAAAAAGAAATTAGAAGCATTTTTATTATAACGGGTTTTTTTTCCTCTGCCGCTCTTTTAAAAAGATAAGATTCAATACTTGTTAAATAAATTTAAAAAAGGGATAAGACATAATATGCATTTTACCAAAAAATATTTTTAAAAAAAAAATAAATTTTTTTTATTTATTAGA